AAAGACATACAATGCTGTTCAGACAAATGAAACAAGTTTCAAGTGATATTATTAATGGGTAACAAAAATATAGCTATAGGTACGTACTTCACAATGTACAGTTTTCCAAGGTGTCATACGATCACCAAAAACTAATGTTTCAACCATATCTTTAGAGATATTTCACATATAAATATTGATCAGATTACTTTTATGACACAACATAAGAGTACATTTTAAATCAATAACATAATTTCATATGTGGCTATAAAAAAATATAATAAATGTTTTAATGATGCATAGTACGCAGGAGAATGTATTAGATTTATTGAATTTTATCTACGGTTTAATCCCTAAAATAAATAAATAAATAAAATTAATTGTTTCGTATTCATACTAACCAGAGAAAAAAATGTTTAGTCGGCCACTAACATTGGTTTCTTGAACGTAGATGGATTCTGACTTCAGTGGAAATATATTTCAAGCTGTTGATTCAAATTTAATACATTTTACACTCTTTGCGTACGATGTATTGGTTTTAAAATATATTTTTTAATTAAATGCAAGAATAATAATAGGCAAGGTAAGGTAAGGTAAGGTAAGTTATATACTAGGGTAAAAAATACTTTAATGGTAATTACAATAATCATATAATATATATTATTATACTATTCTCATGTTTGGTCTTCACGTGACTATCAATTTCTTCAAGCACTATGGCGATCTTTGCCAATAATCTATGTTTTTCTTCCAATGGTTATGAATATTGTGTAGTATTATTTTTTATAAGGTAGTTCGATTAGATCGATATCGTTTATACAAACTAATTCCGTTGTAAAATTTAAAACTTTTTCATTCGTCATTTTAGCGCCGGTCAGTCCACCGAGGGCGAAGTGACCACGTTCATTGGTAAACTTGGACCAGGGCAAAAAGTTAGTCGACAAATATTGGGGACTCCATATCGAGGTGACGTTAAAATCGGATTCAATTTTTTCGTTAACTTTATGGAAGTCACTGTTTTTGAAGCCAAGGATCTAATTAATGTCAAAGAAACAAAAACAAAGCTTCCAGGTATAAAAATATGAATTACATAATTATTTATTTTGGAATCAAAATCATTAAAATGGATTCGAAAGATAGTCACGTATTGATTTAACTTCAATACCAATGTATTTGAACCTTTTTAATGTAGACATTGTTTTGTATTATGTGTAACTTTAAAAAAAATTTTATATTTTAACAGATACATATGTCAAAGTATACCTTGTGAAAGGCAAAAAGTGCGTGGAAAAACATCGTACAAAAACAATTAAAGAGAGCTTGCAACCTAAGTACATGGAAATGCTCAAATTTAAAAGTTCCCCTGCGGGTTGTTTAATCCAGGTACGCACGAAATAGCTTTTCTTAAATTATATTGTTTCTTATTATTTTGGTTAATAGGTATGATTTGGAAATTGTTTGAACAAGCTGTATAGTATGATGATTGATCTATACAAATAGTATCTATAAAACACAATAATTCTTTAAACTTTTTTAGGTGAATGCATTACACTTATTTTTGTTAAATTCCACTCCTTTAAAAAAACTTGATTTTTTTGTTAGGTACGTCACTAGCCATTAGTACTAAATTAATTTAAATGTTTCTACTTAATAAATTTTAATATATTATGTGTGTATGAAATAAAAATATTAATATTATAAACAAAATTATAAATAAAAGGGTGATACGTGCAATGAGACACTAACAATAGATCACATTGTCATAAACTGCAATAAACTCACTGAAGCACGTAAGATCCCCAACAATCCTCCCGCACCTCACCAAACACAAGAGAACACGACAGCAATCATCACATTTTTTTGAACTATACTTAAACTTTAACCCATTAATTATAATCCCCTAAAACATGTCAATATGTGTGTATATACCTACTATTTTTAGATTTAATGTACATTAGGTGGTTTATATTTCCTTCTTTAATACCTAGTAAAAACCTTTGTTGTTGAAGACTTAATAAATTATTAAAAAAATAATAATAACAGGAATTAGAATGATTATTTAAAAATGAATCAAATAATTAAGTAGATAATATTATGCTTATAGCAATAAGGTCATTGTTCCTAAAATTGATATAAATATCTAAAATTTATTGGTTAATTTAAAACATGCTGAATGGTAAGGCATTGCATTTTTACCAGAAACTGGTTGATTAATCGACAAGTTCCTGTTTTTTATCCTAGCGGAATATTCTACCTTTTCGAGATTTACGTAAAATTGCCATCTATGACTGTCAACGTCTTAAAGTTACAAATTACAAATATCACGCTAATCGGTTGTATAAATAAAACGCCTTCTTTGTATATACTGTATATATATGTATATTATACAATATAATATAAAAATTATATTTAATTATTTCGCAGGTGTCAGTGTGGGGAGATTACGGACGCGAAAAAGGAAGAAAAGTTTTTATGGGAGTGGCCGTGATTTATATGGACAGCATAACTACGAGTCCCGGATCGTCATTGACCGAGTGGTACAGGCTGTTCGGATCGTCGTCGTTGGTTAGTGTTAATGAAAGATTTCGGAATTCGTTTCCGTCATTGTACCCATGGTAGACCGTATTATCAATTTAATAGTTCCGTGACTCACCGTAGTCGTGTAATATTTTTAAGCAAAAATTAAAAAAAAAAAAAAAAACTGTAGTCTGTATTTTTTAGTGTTGTATCAAAACAATTATTGATTACACGCATTATGAACATAATAGTAAACGAGACAAGAATATTATAATAACCATTCACTACTTTAGTATTATATAATAGATATATATATATATTTATATAAAAGTTCTAGTTATATTGGTAGGTAGTGTTTTTTTTTTCTAGCAAATCGATATCCTGCAGGAGGCATCGAATTTATTGAGCCGGTCGGATCATATTTTTATGTCGTAGTAATATTTTGCATGCGTACGCTATTATAATATATTAATTAATCATCATATTATTACAATAATATTATATTATGTATATTAAAGCGGTAGTCCTCGATGGAACTACATTTCAAGACAAGCTATATGACTATATGAGACCCTTGTGGGTGTATATGTTTGGCGCGCATGGTATTTAATTTACCATTTTAATGGCACGTATTTTATATGAATTATTTGTTGGCATTAATTATTGTTGTGAACTGTTTAAAATTCAAATGAAACATTTTATACATTTTTTCTTATTTGCCAAAAATTTAAATTTGAATTTTTTGATTGCTTCAAAATTTAAATCGCATGATCATTGATCACCTCTAACTGATACGCTATTAAAATTTAATTTTTTGTTTGATATTCCGCTTCACAGGGTATCTACGTCGGACTGGTTTCTGTATACATACCTGTTATTTTGTTCATCATTTACTGCTCATATATAATGCTGATTTTTTTTTAAATGCAGATAATTGCACTATTTATCTCATAATTATTAATTACATTATATTCTAGCTTTTAAACCATAAATATATAAATAATATATACGCTTGAATTAGTTTTACGTTATGAACATAATTTCATACATTACCTAAGTATGATGTATGGTGTGAGTGTATATACCAATATATTATTATAAATTATAAAGTTTATAAAACTTACAATTTAACGATTATTATATCTCGTTTGTTGATAATTATAATTAACAATTGTAATTAAATGGCTTTCAAAATTTCCAATTTTAGATTCACATTGTGACGAATAGAGTTAATAATCGTTTATAATGATTAGTTATTTATTTGAAAAACTTTTTCGAGCTTTAAAAATGTCAAATTGTTATTCTACATTATATAATTTTAACTCTTATATCAATTTGTGATTTTCAAAAACTCAAAAAACTGCCAAAGTAAAATGTTTGTATAATATTCGATTTGTCATAAAGACTTTTTACAATATTGTTTTAACTAAAATAAACGTATCAACTTTTTAATTCAAAAAGATTCAAATAATTAAATGACTTTAAATAGTTCTGTTAATAACTTGGTATTTTTTGTATCACATAATTGGAAAAATCAACTCAGTTCAGAATAATTTTTAAAATGTAGTCAATTCCAATTTTTAATACAGCAAAAACATATCTAAGACAATTGCTTGTCTAACTACAGTAACTATTAACTAGAACTCATTCACATGTAAAATGTATACATTTTTTTAACAATCTGTCTGTTTTTTCAAAAAAATTTTGCACCAATATTTATAAACACATTTAATGTTATAAAAATTAATAACTTATTGATTACCATGGGTGATTTTGATTGATTATTATTGTTTGATAACTATACAACATAATATAAGCCCCCTCTCATCAAATGAATTGATATTTTCTAAAATAATAATACATTTTATCATTTATGAGTACCTAAGATTATTGACACTCTCAAAATAGTATACGACGATAGGATAATATAAGCTGTATTTGTTTTATATTAACTAGGTACTTACGACATTATTAAATCGTTTTATAATTATTTTACCCGAGAATTTATTGTAAATGCTTGTTGTTCGAGTTCTTTAATATTATATTATGATAAAAATAACTCAGTTTTTTATTTCATGATTTACATTTTAAATAATTATCATACTAAAATTAAAATCTTTAAGAAACTTAAATAATAAATTTATAATATTTTTTAACCAACAAATGTATGACCCTCGAAAAAACCTAATAAATATTTATTACGTTACTTACTTAATCAAATTCATTGACATAGGTGCAATTTGGGTTTGTTTTATTTTTAAATTTGCCTGGTTGATTTATGAGTAACCGTATCTTTCATTAATATTAACTTACCTTATACCCTTAACAGTTCTCAAAATTGATTTCAGAAATAGTACTGACAGCAAACGTTAAAAGAAAACATAAAACTACCCAACAAAACTTTTAAACTGGCAATAGATTGAAATCAAGAGGAGGCTACAACCGCATGTAGTGTCTCCGTCTAATAAATATGCAACATGGCAAATTTGACATCAGCAATAATACATTTTGCTCGATAAATTCTAAAATTAGGGTGAATTTACGTATCATAAAATTTATAGGTAACATTATTATATAAGGTAATTAAATTATTTAAGGAGGGTTTTATTGATATTTTTATTTTGAAGCAAATTCTGACCTTTTTAAAACTGCACATTTTTGGAACATTTCAAAATGATCATAACTTACTGAAAAATAATAATATCAACTGAATCTTTCGAGACGTCGAGATAATAATCTTTCATTTCATTTTTATCATTCATTTTAATTTTAACAATAACGGAGTAAAATGGATTATTGCAAACGTACAATTTGCATTTGCTGTGTTGTATGCTTGTAAGGCGGAGATAACTCATGCGGGTGTAGCGTCCTCTTAATAATTATTTTAATATAACAACCGAAAGTAAAAAACATATTAAGTAGAATATAAAATTATGAAATCGATTTAATCTGTTTAGGAGAATTATAATAAACAATAGGTACAGTTCAGGTGTGTTAAGCAATTTGAGAATGTATTATTGCCTGTTATATACATCTAAGGGTGTAAAGCACTTCGAAGCATCCCCCAAATTGCGCCTATGATGTTATTAAAGAATGTTTTGTGAATACAAATATTTTAATTGCATTTTTGTTTATTTTTGTTTGGTTACCTGTCTTAATGTTTTTTCTTCGTTTGTGTTTAATTTATGTTTCAGTGAGTTTTGTTGCTTCATTCTATTGGGTTTCTTCTTTGGTGGTTGCATGCAGACAACATTTTTTTGTTTTTAATTCCACTTAAAAGTATTCATTGTTTAATGTCAAGTCACAGTTATGCATTGGAGTATTTTTTAACGCAACTCTAATTTATATTCTCAATATTCTAAAAAAATTATTTGTAAATAAAAGCGAAAACAATATTACTTGTAAATAAATTATTTATTATGGAATTATGTGTTTTGTAACATTAAAACTTTCTTATTATGTCTATACATTCCTATATAGTTATAATGAAAAAACCTGTTTTTAACTGTTTAATTGATAATTAATGGAAAAACCTTAAAATAAACAGTGCATTATTTATTAAGACATTATATTTATTTAGTCCTTTGTGTCCTTTTGCACGAATCACACTCAAGTGGAATATATTTGACTTGTGTGTCCATTAACAAATATTATGCAGGTATCACAATCTATATAAAATAATTTACAATTAATAAACACGAAGAGTGATGTAGTATTACTTGTATATACGTATTAAGTATGAAATTTTATCCTCTTGTAATAATGGGTCAATATAGTACTTCCTGCAGGCTCCTAAATATCACAAACGATTCAAATATTACTTTTATTTAACTGTAATGTATGTTGTTTTGGAAATAACGCATTAAATTATTTAAATTGTCAAATATTTGATCAATATCGGGGAATCAATATGGAATAAGACGTAGGACGCAAGTATTGCATAATAATGATAATCTAACAATTTTAAAATAAATACTAAACTGAAAACAATCTTTGACTTCTGTTTAACACAAAGTTACACAAACATTTATAGTAATAATTAAAAAACTAAAATCAAAACCAAAATATTCTTATCAAGAGATAATATTTAATCTTTAAGTTTGGTCTCTAACAACATAGCTTAAGAATATCATAATGTTATTATGTTTAAGTTTAGGTACATACTTTGTGTATGAGTTTCTCATAGTTATCAATATGATAACACCAGTGATGATTTGGGTCGCATTGCTAGTGGTTTCGTTGTATCAACATAAACACTAAAACAAAAATATACTCAATCTAAATATTTAATAAATAATAATCATCAATTAATATAATATTGATCGCTATTGTGTGTTATCGTTTTAAAAATGTCTTACAAGGTAAACCTACACTTAAGCTATTATCTTAATCACTTATTGTCTATTATAATAGTACTATCTACATCTTAGAAGTAAATAAATATTGAGTTGTTTATTACATTTTTATCGCATTAAAATGAATCGGATGTCACAGTAGTTTGTGGGGTCAACTGGGTTTATAAGAACGAGGTATATAGCTATCAACTGAGCAGGTTAAAACGTCAACCATCCAAATAGATAGAGTTCATTTAATAGATAATAGACTCTATTATCGAGAATCTCGAACATTTAATTTAATGTTGCTATATAATAAATAATAATATATGCGATTTGTTTTCGAATAATAAAATACTAATATAATTGTAAATATATTATAATGAAATACTCTCAGAAATATTGGCTGACAGACCTGTATCCGGTCAGAATCGTTATTACCGTATAATAAAATGATTCATCATTGTATTTAAATTCAACCCATCAATTGCAATGGAGTGCTGAATGACGAAGTACATTCAATATCTATAGGAGAGTGACTTCCACGGTTTTTTATTTTTTTTTAATTCCAATTAAAAATACTGTTAAAATGTATATCATATTATCAATATTAATCTTAATTAGGTTTTAGGAAGAGTTTTCAAAAATGGTGGTACTTAATTAAGATTTTGTTTATATCCATTGACTTAATTCTCTGTTTGTACCTATTCTGTAGTCGGCAGTATAAGTAATACTTACTTTTCAGCGTGCCATGCATTTATGCTCGAAGTGCGGACGATCATATAAAGCGGTACGTCCTTAAAGTGTTCATTGAAAGTAATTGCTTCTTGTTCTGTCCCTACGTTTAAAACAATGTAGAAGGTCTCGTGGCCTTCCAATTGTCTGTAAACATAAAACAAAAAATTCACGCTTTTTAACTTGTAATAACAATCCAAAATATTATGTCGGACAATAATTATCCACAGTGACACTCATTGTTGAACAGAATAAATACAAAATTGACTAACGAATCGCTAATTAAAACAAACAATATGGTCACTGCCTGCAGAATCCTACGCTATATCGAATTCATGTAAGTAATTAAACAAACAGAGATTATAACCTAAACAAAAATGTACCTATACATAATAATCATTATTGTTATGTATTAACGTGGTTATTCATCTGGGAAAGATCTATGCGGTAAATTTTGTTTAAGATCCAAGCAATGTGCTTGGAGCCCTTACGAAAACAACAAAATGATTTAATACTGTACCTGGTCAAAATCAAAATCCAATCCGACGGCGTGTGCATGGTCAGATTTCCTTGGGCTATTGTCGGAGACGAACGGAGTCGCAACAACGTCTTGTACGTCTGATAGTGGCTTCTGAAGCAAGCCTTCTGAAAGGCCAAGTTGAGATACCAATGGTTACTGTTCACCGGAAGCCACGTGCGTTGGGACGTCGAAAACCCTTGGAAAGCAATTCATTGGATTTTATTCGTCGAGTCCGGGTAATAGTATGCGTATAGAGCAGAGATGACGAACCTACGACACTCTTGCGCTCTTTTGGTGACGCACTCAACTTGTTTTTTTATCATTCAAGCCACGGATGTGGGAATTTTTTAAGTTTAAAAATAGGGCCATTATATTAGTTGACACGCAAGTGAAATAAAATCCAACTAGCATATTTTATTTGACACGCGGGTACAGAAAGGTTCGCCATCCCTGGTACAGGGGGAGTCGGTAAAAATGAAATCGCGTCTTTCGACCACGAGCGCGTACTTACCGGCGTTTTGATAATCGTTCCAGTGGAATGGGGTCCTGAACGGGTCCCTCGAGTTCGCCTCGTACCTGGCCATGCCGCCGTTTATGCCGAACGGGTCGACCGTCTGGTCCCACCTTATCGTGCCGTCGGCCATACCGATTTCCTCTCCGTTGTACGTGATCGCAGTGCCCGGTAACATGGTCGCCAGCGTGTTCATCGGGTCGACCATGTCCTGACCGAATCTCGAAGCCACTCGTTTGTTGTCGTGGTTCCCCATCTAAACGTTTTTTTGTTTTTATCAATTAGCTTTCCACGCGTCCATCGTGGACTACAGCAGGTATACTGCAGGTACTATACACAGTACACTCTGCAGTAGCGAAGGGCTGCGTACACCACTTGAAAATTTAAATTTATTTTTAATTCATTCACACCGTCAATTTCGGTGGTCATTGGTTGATGAAAGTCTATAACCATTGTACACTGGACGGTTATGTTTTTTATCTACATAGTATTGAAGTACGACGAGCAATGAAACATACATCATTTTATAACGAGAGGAGAGGAAGGCATTGGTATACAGTCTGTATATTATGTATAATACTACACCGAGACTTTTCAGTGACCCCGATAATTGTATTAGACAAATAAGGTCCGGTGATGGGGGTGAAGTGTACATTAATTTCGTAAACACTAAATTTATATTGTATATTATATCTAAATATCAGCATCAGCTGCAGTTACCCACCACCCAGTTGGCCCATTGACCCGGAGGCATGTTATCCAACCACAGATTGATCGTGTTCTTTATATCAACGGCCGACGACGTTTTGTTCAAGTACGTGATAAAGTTGAAATTGAACGGCATGTGAGCCCTGCGTGTCTGCTGGCTGCTGTAGTACATCATGGTATAATTAATGGACGCGTACGCTTCCACCAACATCAGTCTAAACAATACCGACAAGAGAGGTGATTTGTGTACACAGTTATTGTGTTGATATAAAAAAACCCAGAATAGAGCAGCTCAATGTTTAATTCGTCTGGTATAAAGGTTATGATTAAAATGAGGCTTTGTCAAAACAAAGATGTAATTTAAAAAAAGTTGTCAGGAAAAATGTGAATTGTTGATGAATCGGATCCAAATCAGAATAGCGGTCATACAATGAACTTATATTTGAACAGCGATTAATATTGTAACACTGTCTACTACACGGTTAGCAGGTTACATAATAATACAAACAAATAATAGGAGATTGGTAGTATGTCTATTACTATATATAGGAGCTTTAAATCGAATAAAGTATCTGTGTGTTATGTTCTCGAGTCGTTGAACTTTAACGAGTGAAGATATTTTTAAAAGTATTACTCGATCAATTACATTTTATTATTTTTAAATTTCCATTCACACGCTTAATTCATTAAATGTATGCATAATTAATTGACGTATTTAATTCACTTGTAAACCGATATAATTATTATAATTTTTATTTTTTGCTAGAAACGAATCTTTTTTTAATTTGTATTACTGCTAAATTATACACGTTTGTTGTTTGTACGGAAATGTTATTTTCCCATGACGTAGATTTTGTCTAAAACTATTTAAAGTAGAAGATAAATAATAATTTCATTAACCAATGTACACATTATACCTACTGGTTTTAATTACAGAAACCATGAACACTAGTAGAAATAGAAAAATTAATAAATGTAAGTGATTTTAGAAAAAAATGTCTCCGATAAAATGTAACGCTATATTTTTTTCATAGTGCATAAATAGTAATTAAGTTGGTTATGGCCAGCTGCTTTAACTTTCAAAGTAAAAGTTTAGTTTAAAGGCACATACAGTTTTATAAGTATTAGTTAAATTATTGATTATATTGAATATTTAAAGGTTTATTTAATATTGTTGTTGTTTAATATTTAAAACGATTTTTGTTATTATCGGAAAAATATTGATCATAAGGATTTGAAACATTCTACAGTTATTATTTACTATAATTATTCAAAATTAAATTTTCAAAATATTTATATTGTTGTGATTTAAAAAATGTAGGGATTTGGAACTCATCGACATTTTTTTATACTGCCGTGTACTTCACACAAAGACAATTTAAGAAAAAATGTTTTAATTAATTGAGGGTTAGTTGTACAACGAACCATTTCACAAAACCAGTTCAACACTAAGTAATAAAAAATAACAGAAATAATATTATATATAATATTATTGTGCAATATGTGTTTTTTCGAAAATTAATTCAACCTAGGTACCGTTTTACTAATAAAAAAAATAAACTACAAATTACAATATAAATATATAATAAAATATCCTTAGAAATATAGTCTGAACGGTCTGTATCCACTCAGAATCGTGTTCGTGTAAAATAATTTATCATTGAACTCGAATGTAACACTCGTCTACTATTACAGTTACCAACATCGTACTCGAAATCTACCGGCAGTGCAACTTTTCAGATTTTTGTTGGATTGCATAAAATACATTTTAAATTATTATTAGAACACTGAACAAAATATAAATCGACCAACCCACAAATTCACACTTTGATGAAAAGTAAGCCAACATACCGTTATAGTAGGTAGTAATGTTGAAAATGTATGCAGGGGGACATTTTCAGATATAATAATAATCAAATAGTTAATAATTTTTTTTTTCTCTCAATACCTTGTGTTCCCGTCCCGGTTGGTGTACTCGTCCAAAACGGCTCTAAATTCTTCGACGATTTTATACGTGCCCGGCTGATCCCTAGATAACTTGTGATCGAGCAAGACATATGTGTAATTGTCGTCGACGACATTCGGATGGATCACTAGTTCGTCTTCGAACGTTATGTCTTCTAAAATGTATGGCAAAGCGTCTATGCGGAATCCGTCGACGCCGATGTCCAGCCAAAACCGAAGTACGTTCTAAAGAAATCGAATGTTTAGGATGGGGCTGAACAGAACGATTGAATACTACACAAAGATTCTATACAAATTCAATAGGTAGTACCTTCATTTCTTCTAATAGAGCCGGTGAGTTGTAATTTAAATCTGGTTGTTTGGTCGTAAACTGGTGCAAATAGTACTGTCCCCTTTCTGCAGACCACTCCCAAGCACTTCCGTCGAAATTGTTTCGCTTAAAGCAGATAGTAATAATAATATAATGATAATTGCGCGGATCATCTTGTTAATATATGGACAATATTACAAGCGATTTAAGGTTGGCCCTAAAAGTGTTAAGTCTTAAATTAGACACACAATAGCGCAGTACTCGTTTTGAAAATGTCTTCAACTTAGTAGTGAATTAAGTGAGTCATAATCCCGGTGTCCTCAACCATCACACTCAAGAATATTCAATGCCATAATGAGTACCGTATATGACGTAAAATTAATTTGTTGTTTAGTTACTACATTTCTCACCCAATTATTTGGAGGTATTCTGTTACCGCTTTCGTCTACTTTTCCGTCTAGCCACACGTAGTATTCCGTGTAAGGATCGATTTTTTTGACTGATTTTTGAAACCACTCGTGTTCATCACTTGAATGGTTTGGCACAAAATCCAATAGAATACGAACTCCTGAAATCAGGTGTCCAAACGCGTTTCATGATTGTACTATGGCGTGTGACTAGTATTTACGGTTTTATTTTTCACAAGCGAATAAAATATACCGAGCGATTTGAGTTTCCTCTGGAGTGATAAAAAGTCTTCCATCGTTCCGTAGGTGCTGTCGATGCTTACAAAATCGGAAATGTCATAACCGAAATCAGCCAGGGGAGATTTGAATATTGGTGACAGCCATATGGTCCCAATACCTGTTTCTTGAAAATGTTCAGCCATTTGTTCTATGCCTGTACGACAAAATAAAATATAATTGTATTTGTTACAGATTTCAAAATTTTAGCTTACATCTACTGTACAGTTTTGGTTTGCCTAACATGATAAATAAAAATAATAATTTTACTAATTTAAAATAAAATACATTGCTCTAAAATGCATGTCATATTGTCATGTATCGGTACAAAGTATACCTAAGTAGTTAGTACAATATGTCAATATGTGTCATTGAACTATTATTATCTCGACGTTTAAATCAAGAATCGTTATTTATTACGTAATCAGGTAATATTAACATTGTTTTGAATGTTGTCATAATGTTTTGTATTGTTACTAAGCTTGTTGTACCCGCATCTATAGGTATGTTTTGTTTCCAGACGTTACTAATTATATAAAAGTATAAAATAATGTTTTCTTAACATAATTTTGAAGTTTAATATTTTTTGTACTGATCCTTAATATTGTATTTATATGTACACCTATCAAAATGACGTGATTAATACAACATTTATTTTTTGTTTGAATATTAAAAAAAGTTTAAAATATGATAGTTTAAAAAGAAAATGCATAAGTACACATTTAATATATATAATTTAACATTGGTTTGTTGCTGATTTGGGGATCTATTTTGCTAGGCATATGCGGATATTATTCGTGCACACGAGCGTTCGGATGCATTATATTCGTGGTATAAGAACGTTATTTGGTGTTTTGTACTACAGCATACGGAATTAAGGTCTACAAGAATCTTTGACCAAGCAGATATTGTTTGTAATTATGACCCATTATATCCGAATCTTAACTTTGGACCAATACGAAAATCATGTGAATATTTAGAAGAAAAAAAACACGTATATACATCGTATATTATCTCCGAACCTATGCAATACCAATGTACATACTGTGTATACATATATTACATTTACCCACACCACATTTTTTTGAGTTTGTCATCGCCTTATTTTGGGTCAGTAAAAATACTTAAATTTTTTACTTCAGCGGTTTTTCTGGTAAAAAAATAAATACAGTTGAAACTTTGGTGGGGGGGGGGGGGCAATTTTAAAAACTAACAGCCATATACATGATTATTGATTACTCACTCAGCTATTATGTATGGATTTGAGATAATATTTATTTTGTTGTTATAGAAGGTATTCGAAAACCGGCTTTCACATGCCCTATACTACTACTATATATTGCAATTATATTACTATGACCAAGCGTTTATACGAGCAATTTCGTCGTACGTTTGTTTCCAACGGATGATGTATAAAATACAATTTTCGTGATGCATAAGAAAAATACACACACGAGCGGAAGTCAATAATATGTACGATAAGGTTATGTATACTAATAAAGATGTTACAAAATACCGTTTTGGAATTTCATAAGAAAAAATTCAAATTTTCGTGTACTGATTGCATTCGTACGGTGTACAAGACAGACCCCAGGAACTTAGGTTTTCACGGGCAACATCTCAAGTTTTCATTAAAAATAAAAAATATCAAGTGTTGCGGCTTTTTGTTATCACCTTACAGGCATACCGCATATATTTTTTGTAAGTACGACTCAAAGACCATATATAAATATACATACTTAATTTGTAAATATTTTCTATAGTATAGCCTTTTTTATAGTTTATCCCCGGAAAATTGTAAAAGAAGCATTATATTACCTGTCTACATGCCTAAAAAGAAAAAAACGTGCTGTTGTACACTTATACCTAATTATTACCTTTGAGGTCTCCAATGCCGTCACCGTTGCTGTCTTTAAACGATCTTGGGTATACTTGATAGATGACACCGGTCTGCCACCAATCCAATTTTGAGGGTTCTAGAGATGTCGGCGTACGTATTATACTCACGGTATTTTTTATCCATAAAATAAAAAGAGAAGTCCTAAATTTAAAAAAACAAAAACTACTTACCGGCATTTGCAGCGCTGAACGCTATCGTTATTAAAACGACCAAGCAACAGAGGTACGTCATACTGTCGGCACTCGGAGCGATCGTCTGACGGCCGGTGTGTGAATTTTTGGATATTTGTACGGTTTGATAATTATTTCGCCCATGACCTTACGAGTGCGCTAAAAATATTAGGTAGGTACCTATTTAATTATTCACTCGGCTGTCGTACCGTAATGGTGGACTCGGGACCATATGAGGCGTAAGTGGCGCGAGTACACGAAGCGTGACATCGGTCGAGAATCGAGTGTTTGCAGTGTTTGCAAATAGAGTTACGAATCCAACGCTAAATAATGATAATAATAATAATAATAATAATAATAATAATAATTACGAGTTGGACAGACAGCAAACAAGTGAAATGTTTGTTTTTCACAACCAAATTATTATGTAATCGTTTTTTTTTTCGAGCAATAAGATTCGTTTTCCATAGCTGGCTTATAAAATCGCATTATTGTTTATTATATACTATATAATCATATGGTATACGGATCGATATTTGGTCGGTTCTGCGAACGATAATTTTAAAGTTTGGACAACCGTGTACGTGTTACAAGATAATAAACGATAATCGATTGCGTGTGCGGATTGTTTATTTGGTTTCAAAAAACTGACAAGGATTCGTCGAGGCTATATAGTCTAGGTTAACCTGGACACGTTCACCATAATAATAAGGATCAATAATTATCCAAAACACGGTAAGGATTTAATAACGATTGTATAAATATTACAGCAACTCGCATACCTACATACTACATATAATATAAATATATATGTATATGTTTATATTACACTTGTCATGTATACATAACTCAATATAATGTTGTGTGACTATTGTCCAATGTCGGTACTGTTGATAATATATACGTAACCGTACGTTACTTTCGCTGTAGAAACTATGAGGAATCACTGCACCATATTGTCTCGAAGAGGATTATTTTTGTTAGGGGGTTGGTGTGTTGGCTCAAAATAAAATTGTCTAGGTGTTTGAAAATACACCGGTGCCCCTGCTCTCGTATTTTTCGACCAATATGCAGGAAAATTAGAAATGATTACTGAAAAAAATTCGTTTTACGTTGTTCAGGATTAAAATGCGTTACACAACTTTACTGTTTACAATTTGTTATAGTCAAACATTTTGCATTTTATGAATCTAAAGGGCGTCATCAAGCCCGTATGTATTTAATATCAGGCGAAATTGACCTATTGAATCATTTAAAGCCAAAAATATTGTGTATGGCCCGCCCTCAAAGGTTTTACTTCGATATTTTAATAATTATGAACTAATTTATGTTAATTTTACTAACTATTTTATTTATTTAAAATTTAAAATTGGTCAAACATAATTGTTTGTACCTTTACAAAATAAAATTGTATTTAAAAAATGTTCGTTAGAAAAATAATAGTTATATTGATAGGTATGTTTGTTTTCATATAGTTTTAATTTTAAAATTCGAAGTATCTATAGATGAAAAAATTAAATGGGTGAGTAAATAAATTTTGAAAATTCACACATACTGCAATATAATATAATGTTCGTCACGTGCGCATATTCTATAACAATATACAATGTAAATGGTATAATTCATTGATTCAGTATAAGAAAATAAAATATGCAAGTACCTATAACCGGGTTATAAGTTTGACTTTCGAGTATATAATATTAATATAATAATATGTTAAATGGTTGTCTGTATGTATATAAAAATGAATGTGTCTTTGTTTTTCTCTAAAGACTCAAAAACTACTGGACCGTTTCCAATAAAAGTTACATTAATAGATGAGACTCATGGAATGTTTATAGCGTATTTTTTCAGCCTTCGTAGGTTGCTATAGGGTTATTTTTGTTTATTTAAATGGTTGCCATTGGTTACATAATATATATCACTATTACAATTATAGTAGAAATATGGTATATTGGCATAAACCATTTCTTACTAATAAATTTTTGAGCAAAGAATAAATCGACTACTTACGAACACAACTATTACGATGCGATTACTATTATGATTTTCTTTGTTAATTCTGGACATATTATTAATGTAAACACACGAATTTCAATACCAATCTTCAATATATTGGAATTGTGCCAGTTTTCAAGCATTTGTCGAAAAATCGGTTTTCAGTTTTTTGTGTCTACATCAAAAATTAATTCAAAATTAAGAAGCGAAATCATTTAATTAATCACTGTAAATTGTGTTTGAATTATATATTTCTGCCGAAAAAAAACGAAAACGATAGAAAATTGGATTAATTTTAAAGTCAGTTAGTACAGCTACAGTAATTCATAAGAAACAATATGACGCCATAACGAAATGTTTTATGCGGAAAAGAACAATTTAATATTTATGAATACAAATTAGCAAAAAAATAAACTATCTCCTAATGATCCACACTGTTAAAGGTTTTAAGTTTTCAACATGCACACGTGTATGGATCAGTGTGATGTCAGTTGCCACACGAGGTTAACACTTTACCCTTTTTGTGTGTCACAGTCGTTTCTATAAATTCGAAATCGTCAACGGTCTACACTGTACAGTGCAGTTGTTCTTTAATACATATTTTTGGATGCTGAACCAGGTCTGGACTAAGACTATATTATTACTATAAACTATTTTACATTGCGGTTCGTTCGAATTCGTGTGAAAATACGTTTGTATTCATAAGCAGGTAGGTATTCGTTTTACTATTTAAACAATTTGTTTCTCACCAAACATATTATATTTTATTCCTAAAATTAAAGTTGTATAATAATAGGCATACCTATACTTTTATGATCATAGAACCTGCTTGTTTAAATACCTACTGTACATTTACATTAATTTTTATAAAAGTCGTCTATTATACCGAAAATACATGCAATGCATTAAGTTATTATATTTTTGATTTCATATAACATATAAATCGTACAATGGACTGTTTAGGGTTACTTAGGTATCACAGTTTGAATTTTATATTCTTGATTTACCTTTTTATTTAATGACTTGTTACAAAAGTAAAACGATTTCGTTGCATTTCAATGATGAATTAAAAACAATGGAACTACCTGGTGAATCGAATATTCTAATGGAAAATACCATCACCGTTATACTAATATAATGTTTATTATGAACAGGTAATGTCAGTATTAAACACAATATTAACTGTCTATAGATATATTCAGTAAAACACTAACACCAACTAAATGTGATGTTTACATAGATGGTAAATGTAAATGTAACAATACGTAGGTATATATATAAATAAACGTAATTTTGTTTTTAATTTTATCTATGGTGCAAAGTTCAATGATTAGTCGAGTAAATACGTTTGACGTAAACAGTCCATCTATAGACACCTGTTGTGTGATAGAGATCATTATTTATAGTTTCATCCCAGTAAATATTTCTAAGTTTTGTGGACGTTTATTGTTAACTTTAAAATTTCTATCCCATCGTAGACGATATTTACACTGTCATCGGTTTGAGTGGCATTCACCGTTCTTAGTACTTATAGATTATCACGGGTCTTAACTATGCGTCGTGAGTGGTAAGCGTGATATCTCTGATCCAATATTATCATTTTATTTACTTATTGTTCACCACATTTTATCGTAGCCATAGTAATAATACCCAAATACATGCTAGATGCATTCGAGCGACCGGATCGTCTAAATTTTTCTTTGTTTCACGCCTATTTTTTGTTTTCAGCATGGTTTTATTAATATTAAATGTTGCGGAATATTTCGCCGGCGCGAAGAACACGGTCGTCGCGGATGAAAACGAGAGCTTGGAATGGTGGCAAACTGCTGTTTACTACCAAGTCTATCCGAGATCATTTAAGGATAGCAATGGTGACGGTATTGGAGACCTCAAAGGTAGGTGACGTTATATGTATATATTATTAATTCATCAATTTTAATGTTCTGTTGTGGGTTTTTGGAATTTATTTTGAAGGGATTGAAGAGAAAGCTGAGCACTTCAAAGACATAGGAGTGGACTGTGTTTGGTTATCACCAATTTTCAAATCACCCATGGCTGACTTTGGTTACGATATTTCGGATTACAATGCGATTGATTCCGTGTATGGCACAATGGATGATTTTGTTTCGTTACAGAAAAAATTGAAATCTTTGGGTAAATAAAGATATTTTTTGTAAGGTTATTGTAGAAAATAATTAAGTACCTATCCAACAGTATTAAATAAAAATTTTAAAAGAAAACATTTATATATTGTTTTTATGACTTCGAGGTAAATGAATTACCACTTCTTCATATGATGTTATTGATTGATTTATTTTTGTATAAATAATAATTATACCAAACTACCTAATAACTGTAGGTACTTGATATAAAAAAAAAATCGAAATCAAAGTATTTATGTTTATGTAAAATTTCCAAAATAAAGTAATACAAATGGAATATAGGTTGACTTATTTAAATTTAAAATGTGTCATTTTTATTAACTTATTCCTTTTTTTAAGACAGTTTATTTTCAAAATTTAAACTCACAAATTAGTTAGTAGATATGTTGGCCAATGCGTAGAGTATTGTGAATAGGTAATTAATTTGTTTACGTAAAAAATTTGAATTGTAAATTTTCATAAAAATTTATTGGAAAACCTTAAAATAATTTAATATGAAAAATTAAGTTAAACCAATTAATATTCTTTCTATAGTCTATATTAATTATACTAAACACCTAATAAAAACATAAAACAGTGCTCCTTAATTATAATTTCACTTAATAAATCTGCAATTTGATATCATCCAAATTTCAAAGTTATGTTAATTTATACTTTTCATAAAACCTAACTTAAAAAAATCTTTAATATGTACATTCACTTCAATTCTCTCCCTTAATAAAAAAATTAATCAAACTTTAATTTTTGAAATTTTTTAGTAGCATATTTTAAATTTTTTAGATTTTTATATTCTTTAGTGAGTATCCCAAGGTGACATTAACTTCTTTTTTACAAACGAGAACTTACCTTTTTTACTATAAATGTTTAAGCAGATGATTCTTTTGAAAATTTTTATTTATCTAGATCAAAAGTTAAACGAGTTCTGAGTGATTAAAATATATAATATTCAAAGGATATTACAAAAATATAGATAAAAACTAATATTGGACCAATTTTTTATTATAATCTGAAATTGTTTTGATAGTTATAAAATGTTGATAAACTGATATAAATTACTAAAAATAGTAAATACTACCATAGCCCCCATACTTTCTAAATCATTTATTTCATAAACTTATTAACATATAAAACACAAAGTTAAATAACTCAAAAACTACTTATTCAAATTTCGATTGATAAAGGTACATAGGTGAAATTCGAGCAAAATTAAAATTTTTTTTTTTTTGACTTAGGCATCCAGTTTTATCTGTAGCCTCAACAGTTTTTTAATCATATTTTCGTTTAAAATACTAATGATCAAGATTTATGCTGCTGGTACAATAAGCTCCCCCTCCCTAGAAAAATGAGCATAGATGGGTCTATAGATAAAGTACATCAAAATGTTTAAAAAAAGTTATCTGAAAATCTTAAAAATTTAAAGTATACTTAATTAAACCTACTTAAAAATTCCAAAAATCAAAAATTTTAATAAATTCGTAATTAAATTAAAAAAATGGAAAATGAGGGTACGCGCACAAATTAACAGTATAATAAACTTAAATAAATAAATTAAATTAAAAAATAAATAATAATTAATATCATTAATTGTGTATTTTTATTTGGAAGAAAAAGCCATAACATTATTTCTATAATATATAGGCATTAAGATTATTTTGGACTTCGTACCTAATCATTCAAGTGATGAACACGAATGGTTTAAAAAGTCTGTGCAAAAAATTATGCCATACAAAAACTATTATGTATGGAAAGATGCTAAATACGATGAAAATAATTGTAGAGTGCCACCAAATAATTGGGTAAAGTATTTCAATAATTCGATAAAATATTATGTTTGTTTTTATTTTATTTTTTTTTTGTCTGTGAAAAAATGTCAGCAAAAGTGTATTCTACGTATTGAATTTGTTTCCACTTGTTAAATTTTATATTTTATTTTAATTTGTATAATATTAAATTATAATTTGTTTAAATCAGGGCTTGCATTTGAAAAATAAATTTTGTTTTACGTTATTTACAATCAAAACGTTATACATATTTTTAGTTTATCGTTATTCAAAATTTAAACGTTATTCAACTTTTGTGTTAATCGTTATTCAGAATTAAAACGTTAAACAATTTTTGCGTTTATCGTTATTCATAATTAAAACGTTATACAATATTTGCGTTTATCGTTATTTAAAATTTAAAAGTATACGACTATGACCTTTTTTTGGGGACATAATTTCCTTGTTCTGAGTTTTAAGTAGGTATTGTTTAATTTTATTTATTTAATTAAATGGGTTAAACTAATATAAAGAAAACGTATGCACGTTAAAACTATAAGTATATTAGTATAAAATATAAATATTAAACATTTGACAACAATTAGACAAACACTGACGAGTGAATAAATCTGAGCAAACTGAACACCGAACACAATAGTTGAATAACTTGAGTGGTATAAATTTCGACCGTAGTACAGATAGTACAGTACAATATTATCAGAGCATCACTATTATTAGCTATTGGTAATTAAATTATTCTATTAATAACTTCTTATTAAGTTTTAAAATAATATCTAATACGGGATCTCCTGGATATGCCGGATACGGAATAAAATTAATTCTTGGATTGAATAAATAATTGAATACTACTAAGTATTATTAAATAATTGGGAATTAATTATTTCGTTTAATGGAATACAATATATACCGTTTTGCGTTATGTTTTGTTTAATGATACATCATAATATATTTTGTTAAACGTTACGTTTTGTTTTATGTTATTTATTTATTTTCTTTTATCGTTTTCCGTTATAATTAAGTTTACAAATTTCAATCGTTTTTTATCAAATATAACGTTATAATCATAACGTTATTATAATGTTTGCAAGCCCTGGTTTAAATCGTTTAAACATTTAATATTGTTATGTATCCATGTTTTCAGCAAAGTTTATTCAGTAATTCAGCATGGACATGGAATGAAAAACGTGGACAATATTATTTACATCAATTTGATCCTAAACAACCAGATTTAAATTACAGAAATAAAGCACTAGTTAAAGAAATGAAAGTAAGAATATATTTTCAAAATAAAAAAATAAGACGATAGGTAGCTATTATAATACAATATTATAGTTTAATTAGAATACTTAGATATTATTATATATTACATTATGATTGAAACCTAAAACTTTACAAAATATGCTGCTGATAAATAATGGTGATTATTATGTTGGACAGAACCTAATCGAATATTTAACGTCACGACAAACATATATATATTTTATATATTTACAAAAATATTTCACTTATACCTACCTAGTGATTAAATTAATTAATTTAGGTTTAATTCCACCAAGTTGTTTATTGTTTCTTAAATAGTTCTGTATTCAAGGACAAAACACCTATAAGACAAAATAAGAGTCAACAAAATTAAGTTAACAATTAGTGTATTTAATTAAATATTTAAAATGAATTGTATAGATCTAATTACTTCAAGAGTAATACTACACTTTGGTAAATTAAAATTTAAAAAAAAAATGGACATTATATAGAGACCTTGTATGGACACGAGTTTCGGTTCACTCACCTTGCACCTTGCAACAGGTTGTTGGAAGTAGTCAGTTATGATATTAGATTTCAAAGTAATGAACAATGGTACACCAAATTCATAAAACGTATTTTTACTTGTTAAAAGTATTATCTGGTTAAGATTTATATTCTATAAAGACGTTACATAAAACTTTTGGAGATCTCCTCTTACGTTTAAAAAATAAATAACTTAAAAATAATAACATATTGAAATTTGCTTGGAATTGAATACCCAAATAAATAAAGTTAAAAATGAAATTGATTTAAAAGAGAAATATACTTAGACAGTTAGACATGAGTATTAGGACATAAGGTAGACAATAGACAATAGTCACCTACAGGTTTTCCTATACAATTTGCATTTAATAACCTTTTCCGGATAATTAAACATTATATAATATGATAATAAATATTGTAATAGAAAATACATATTCATATTGTACGAGAAACTTATAACATGAAGTATTTCAATTAGTAATTGTAACATTTTTTATAATCATGACTAATAATTTGTTTCGTGTTTAATGAATTCTACCTACAAACGTAAATTATTATACTTAGTTAATTAAACTACTAAATTTATATCATCTGAGATGATCGGTTGAACTAATTAAGTTAAAAAGTTATGAAACAAACCCATTTCTAACTTTGCTTTAACTTTTTAACTAGTTTATGCTTTATCCCCACTTATACTTTGCAGTTTCCTATTATCTATTTATTTTTTATACTATTTACTTAAAAACAATGCTACTACAGTAGAGCAACTTCCACGGTCTTTAAATTTGTAGTTATCAAAAGTTAAATAAAAAACGTTAATATATTATATATTTATTAAGTTTTTAGGTCACCAAAATTAAATTTTAGTGTTTTCTTAGCAAACCTTTAGTATAATTCAATAGGTACTATAGTTTTAAAAATCTTTTACGTTAGCATACATACCAGCTATTTTATATGCCCGATTTGTGATTAGGTATTTTGATAATATTTCTTTTGTTACATATTAAAAATATATTTTTTTTATTATCTTATTAAAATATTTTTGTTTTTGAGCAGGACAACTTCAGGTTTTGGTTAGATCTTGGTGTAGATGGGTACAGAGTAGATGCCGTACCATTTTTGTTCGAGGATCCACAATTCTGTGACGATATCAGGAAACCAGAAGAGCTTGCTATGAAAGAGAAAAATACTTATGAACAATATTATCATCCCAATACAATGGATCTAGACGAAACCTATGATATGATCAATCAGTTTAGGGAAGTAATAGATGAATACAAACTGAAAGATGGAAAAAGCAGGTAACTAATACACGAATTGTGTAACCGTATACCTTATTATTAACTTGTCATTGTATAACAATGTTTTTAAATTAATATATTTTAGTATTCATGTGGTAAATACCATAAATTATATTCATTCGTAATAATAATTAATGGTTGTATAACACTAAACAATTTTCATGGTTTCTTTACAAATCAGCTGATTCTCAACTTAGAAATAGCCTATGTCTTATTACCGTTTATTTTAGATCGAATATGATGAGCGATATAATATATTGTACATCATATATCACATCTTGAACTTTTACTCTTATTTATTCTGTTTATCAAAAACGTAGACAACAATTACAGAACTATAAGAGGACTTATCATTGCATCCCCCACATGTGTTTGTTTCCATCTTTTCAGCATACTAAATTTGCTTTCACTAGAACTAATTTTTTTGTCACGTGAATATTAGAGTGACTTAACTCACTATCAAACTTAAAGTTAGTAATATTATCTGAATTTCATTGTTGGTTTTTTATGATGTATTAATTATTAAGCAAATTATGTGTATGTGAAATATAATAATTTAAAAATTCTTATAAAACGCTTAAAAATTTAAATATTGTCAAAAACCAACGGACTGCAAACACAAATAATGTCGTTGCTTTTAGATAAGTTTGATAATAGTTAAATTCACACTTATATCAAACCTAGTAACCAAAAGTGGATCGTTCAAATATACTTTGTTGTATTTATGTTTCTAAGATGAGGATAAGAAACTCTTAATTTGCTAGTGGGGCGTCGTCATAAAATCCATGCTCCTATATAACGTATATGTATAGTGTAAAGTTTCAATGTTTGTTGTTTTTTATGGTTAATTAAAAATATTATATTTGAGGATAATATATTTTATTACTATGTTTAGAGTTATGATAACTGAAGCATACACTTCTTTGGAAAACACTATGAGATATTATGGTAATGAGACCAATTTGGGAGCACATATGCCATTTAACTTTGGATTGATCGATCGATTAAATGATCATTCGAACGCCTCTAAATTCAACGATGCGATAAATAATTGGTTGGACAATATGCCTGAAGGAAAATGTGCGAACTGGGTGGTAAGTAACATCGCGATTCGGAAATCTCTCGCTCTCTGCAACATTTATTGGTTAAATGCAAAATGTCATCAATATAGATTTTAAACATTATGCTTCCTATAGTTTAAAATATATTTGATTTTAAAATAAAAATAATTGTAATAACATAAAAAAAGTAAAACTAGACTTTGATTTGACATTGTCAACAATATAAATCAATCATAAAATACTAATATAATAATTATATATTATACCTACATCAATTTATTATCAGTATATAGTTTTTATGAATCCATCATCCACCTTAAAATATGACGATTAAATAATAACAATGTTTTAAAAAAAAGTAATAGATACAACAATCATACTAAGGTATGTATAAAATTAACCTAATGCCTAATATAGACAGTTTACTTTAGTCATACAATAGTCAACAAGCAAGAATCCAAGTAAAGAGTACCTATTTGTTATTGTCTTAAAAACGGTATTCATACTTAATATATATATTTTTTTTTATTCACTTTATCAGCTATCTATTTATGATGCATAATTAGTTGGGTTATAAATTCTTATATTTATATGACATTCAAAAGCATTTACAACAATGTACAATATCTTTTTTATATTAAAATTAATTTTATGAGAAAAAAACTGTGTTTTATTTCTCATGTAATAAATACGTATGTCCATAACTACTGTAGGCAAATAATAATTTTTACATAATGACTAATATATTCAATAAATTCAATGATGACAAATTATCCATCAAAGCTAAGCGTGAGTGAAACAATTATTCATCAACGGCTTCTTATATTGGCCATCTTTTATCACCCATAATTTTAGGCCCATTTTTTTCTATTAAACTTTTACAAGACTAGTTTTTCTTAAGTTTTACATCATAAGTTTCATCAGATTGGTGTAATTAATGTACTCGTCTTTTGAACAATAAGGAAATTACTTCGATAACGTTAAAATCTGTTGAAATTGATTTCTGTTACCAACCAATAACGCATCGCCTTTAATTTTTGAGCTTACCCATTTCTGGACAAAAAATAAAAAAATGATACTCAGCTCATAGACACTCACCTGCACGATACAAGGTCACACTGTGAACGAATAGCATCCCGGCGCGTTACTAAAATAAAATATAAAATTTAAAACTATGCTTCAATGTGTGCAGATAGGAAACCATGACCAGCCGCGCGTGGCCACTCGGTTCGGCAGTGAAATGGTGGACGCCATGAACATGCTGAACATGCTGTTGCCCGGCGCCGCGTTCACTTACATGGGCGAGGAGATCGGAATGTCGGACACTGCCGTCCGCTGGGACCAGACGGTGGACCCGAGGGGCCTGAACGCGGGACCCGGCGGTTTTCGGACCTTGAGCAGGGACCCTGCCAGGTCTCCGTATCAGTGGAACGCCAGTGCCAACGCCGGGTTCACGGTTTCGTCGACACCATGGTTGCCGGTAAATCCCAACTACTGGAAGCTGAACCTGGACGCGCAGCGGAAGCAGCACTGCAGCCATTACACCGTGTACAATCGGTTGGCCAGGCTCCGGAAGACCAGGACGGTGCAGCGCGGTTCGTTCGACGGCAGAGAGCTGTCCGATTGGGTGTACGCGTTCACCAGGTGGGTGGTGCGCAGTGCACGTGATACTACGACCTCCGAGAATGCATTGCTGTCTCGGGCGCACGTAAACTCCGCCACAAGTACCTTTTTTTACTGTAAACTCCGCCAGAAAAAAAAAACAGGTAAAATTGGGTTCATGTAAACTCCGCCACTGAAAAACATCAGGTAAAATTGAGTTTATGTAAACTCCGCCAGTGAAGAAAATCAAATAGTAGAATAACCTGTAACGTCTTTACGTATACCTTATCTACTGCCGATATCATCATTGGAAATCCTGATTTCAGATAATATGAAGATAAAATTATTAATAATTTGAATCGATCTAACCTTGACAATATTTTATCAATTTTGACATTTACATCTCAATAGATGTAAACGTATTTAATGTGAGAAGGCACGTGGCAATGTGAGTACTGTCGCACTGACCAGGTAAAAAAAAAAACTGGCGGAGTTTACTTATACCCATTACAGGTAAGAAAAAAAAGCTGGCGGAGTTTACCATAGACCTATTATTACCTTTTTATCTTAACCGATATTCTGGCGGAGTTTACAATCGCCCGCTGTCTCGTGCAAATCGCTTAGCTCCCCCTCGCCTCGACGGCGATTAAATGTGATAAAATAAAAATCGAAAAGGAAACGCATACTAAATAATATTAAGTTGAGGGAAAATTAAATCCTATACCGCTATTAATAGGCAGTGTCACCACTCGTTTGCCTACCGAATCAAAATGTAATTGAGTAATAATGAAAATATTTTCCTTTCTCGTTTTTCATTCTTCATTAACTTGTTGTATATATTTTATTCAGGTAGTTATAACCTTATGGGATCTACAAATTATCATACTCTTTTATAATTCGTTTGTTCAATAATTATAGCACAATATATTTTTAAACAAACAATCTTTTGTGACGATGATTTTTTGTAACATTATAATTTATAATATTATCAATCGTAGTGATCCAGAGGTTTTGCATTCTGAAAGTCTGAAACGCAGAGATGTGCCATAGAGGGGGGGGAATACTTTAGGGTGACGAATGTTAGATAGTATGTGTTTTTAATAGGGGTGCCAATGAAAGGCCAATAACGGCACTGTTGAAACGCGGTTTTATAATTATACTTGATAGGCTATTAGTGTGGTGATTCAATCGTTTTTGGAGATCCCGGAATAGAGAAAATTTCCTGTCCATCAAATTTGTTCTTGTGTCTATATAGCAGAGGAAAACAAAACTAAATGTATCCAAATATGTTTAAGAAACTTACTTACCTCTATGCATTTGGTATGCACGCACTCAATTATTATTATAATATGAACGGCGAATGCTATAATACTTAATCTAGTATTTTACATTTTTTTATTTGACTAGGTCACTGCCGTCAGCAGAAACTTACCTGGTGGTGATGAACGTCGGCTCGGAGGATGAACATGTCGACTTGAGTCGTTGGCCAACTACGGACGAAGACGAAACTTGGATGGTGCACACGCCAAGTGTCAATTCACAATACACAATAGGGTGAGGATCACATAATGCTGAAATAAAATTTTACTATTTGACAAGCACAACGTTTAATATGACATTTATATTATGAGACATTATGTAGACACCGTGAAGACACCCGTAATATTTATTCACGAAAATGATTTAATGCATAAGACTGCACATATGTCATATACCTATGGATACAATATTTTCAGTAGATTTACCAAATGGCCACAATATAATAAACAGATTGTTGAGCTATAATAGTTACACTAGAAGATAATCATAAAAAAAAAATAATAATAATAGCCTCAATCATTTATTTATTATTGACTGATAATTGACTAGAAAGTATTGATATGAAATAAAAAAAAAACGCTATAACAATATGACAATATGAAATGGATAAAGAAAGAAATCTTCTATGTCTAGTAAAAGTTTGGTATAACTGTTGTAAATATGTGTACTCATTTGTTTGTCCCGCATAATACGGATTTTGTGCATGATTGCGTAATTACGCAACAACCAAGTAGGTGAAGACTTCAAATTGATTTTAAAAATATAGCAATTCTTCTCATCATTTTATTTATCTTGCCTATATAAAACGCCTTATATAAGGAGTGGGTGTGTCGTCGAACTCCTTAAAAACTGTCCGCCATCGATCCCCTTAACAAACTATAAGATCGTAGATCTTATATTAAGACAAATTATATTTAATTAAACGAAACATTTAAAAAAAAATTTTTTTAAACCAATTGGCCTAATAAAATGCATTAATCCCACACTTTTTTTTAAACATACATAATTATTATCCATGATTGTATAAGGGTTTTTCCTGTGAACGAATCTCTATTATATTTAACTGATAAGTTAGATCACTTTACTACAACCTAAATAATTATGTGGTACCAGTAACCGTATACATCTCTTATGTTAATCACATTGTTATACCACACTTAATGGTAACCCTATATTGCCTTTTGTTTTTACCATTTAGATATTCACTTAAGACAAATGGATTCATGATGAGACCAAAATCAGCCATGGTTTTGTGTAACAAAAGACATTCATTGGTATTGTCGTCATCTTCATCTGCAACTTCGTCGACATCCTCACCTTCGCTGTTGTTTCCGGTTGCAATGTTCGTTGTCGCCATGGGCTACTCTTTCGCCAACCAGTAATCGTCAGTCATCCAAGAAGATTGATTATTTCTAAAAATGCTAATTTATTAAAAAAAAACCTCAATACTATTGTGAATCGTCCGGGCCATTTTTAAAATATAAATTAGAAAATAGGTACAATACCTACGTCTTTATAGTGTTTTGAAATCGATGAATTTCATTTCTAATAATTAGTGGTAATCATCGTTGGACTTTAAAATCGCGTTTACAATCTTTTATTTATAACTGGCATTAATTTAAAATAACAAATAATAAAGAGGAGAAAATAAATTAGGTAATCACGCAGTAAATCGGTGAATAGTGATCGATACCTTGTGGCCTAAATGTCATAATCAATACCTATAATTTGAAACCATTATAATATTATAGTTTGTCATGCCTGTAACGTAGCAACGTCTTCCGTTGGCTTGTATTATATAATACAATATATTATATTAGTATGCTCTGAAACGACAATGCGCTCTTAGTATCATATTGTGCACGTAAGTACATATTGTGTGTAGGTATAGTGTCGCTAAGTGGTTGGCTACTTAAGCAATATTTAATTATTTTACGTTTTTTAAGCCTGCGTTTTCTGTCAATTATAATATATTATTAATCGTTATCATATAACGTACAATGCGTAAAAAGATATATTTTTTTGTCTAGATTTTCATTATTTTTAGACTTTATGCTTTTGGTAATTAAATGTAATTAATTCGCTAATTTTAAATTATTTATATTATATTAAATAAATCATCGATTATAAACAGGTTTTAAATAAAAATGTATATTTATGCATGTTTACGTGTATGTTGGGTTGCCTGTTTATACATTTTCGGGCAAAACTTGATGTTATTCAATACAATTAATAAATATTGTTAATACATTTTGTGTTATTTGTTTTACTTCGCTAATGTTTTTGATGAAAAAAAACAAGTCTATAGTTAATCAAATTTTTTCAGTTAACACCAATAGTGGTTTTGACAAAACTTCAGAATTTTGTACGATTCCATAAATAGTATGTATAAAAACACGCTCTGGCCGAAAACTGTTCATGCTTTCTGACATTACATTCAGTATGAATTATTGTGATGTGGTTTCAATATAACTTCGATAGATTACAATTTGGAGAAGCAGTCGTGACGATACACAGCTATACGTCATAATACCTCGGAAAAATTGTCATTTTGAAAAATAGGACATTTTACATAATATTGATACAAATTCAAAATAATATTATTAAAAAAAATAATATTTATAATTTTAGATTCTGAGCGGGGCGATGAATGTATTGATTTTACAATGATGTGTGTTTTTATATTAATTAATTATATTTTAGTGTTTACATCACGGTTTCCGGCAGAAAAAGTGCTTCGATTTTCTTCGATAACAACTTTTCTGGTAGGCAAGTGAATCTAGTTTTTTTTTGTGCATTCGAAATATCAAAATTTAAAATTCCTAATAGTTTTCAAAAGCAACATAAAAAATAAACAAAAAATTAAGGAAAAACTGGAAGTTTTACGCAAAACTATAATTTGAAAAAATCGATTTTGGTTTTTATGGTTACTCTAACAAAAATGACCGTAGATACATAAAATGTACACTAAATATTGTGTAAGCATTTTCTATACATCGTACAACTTTCAAAATATTTTGATTTGTGTTGAACTATTTATAGGCAAATGAAATTTTCGATTATTTCCTTTTTATATCTGAGGTTTAAAAATTGTGTATAAGATTCCTTATACGTTTGTCTACCTTTATGAAAAAAACCGGAAAGGCAAATTAAATTTTTATGAAAGTTTGAATCTGAAATTTTTACAATATTGGATACTCCACTCGATTTCTCTTTTAGAGATTTTCTTATTTTGTTTTAATTCAAAAACAAATAATTGTAGACACTTTAAATTTACACCACATTTTCATTTCATCAATTCATATACACGATACATTTTTCAAAATATTTGGACTCGTATAAAACTGTTGACGGGCATTTATAGTTTTCATTTTTTTTTTTCTATAAACGTCAATAAAATTGTAATGGTTTTGTCAAAACGTTTTTAAACCTATACAGTGTCCGCAATTGTTACGATGAGCTTATTGTGTTTAAATATTTAAGATTCATTAATAAAAAATTGTAAAAAATCACAGAAATATTACTTTCTTACCCATGTATAGGATATTATCTAGTAATTATTGAGGAAACTAGGTTTTATGATATAAAAACTATGTAATATTTTTCCAAACAATATTATAATACTTGAAACCGATACTGATATTTATATGTTTAAACTCAATGATTTCGAACAATTTTTCAACTTTCAGATAATTTCAGTAAACATTTTGATATTATCAGCAGTCGTTTAATATGTTTCAACAACTCAATGCAAACCCGGAGAACGTGCAAACGCAACAAGGAAAAGCAAGAAATAAATCATTTAAAAATAAAAATGAATGGATATTTATAATGTATTATTTGCTTATATATTAAAAACGGCTAAAATAGAAAATTTAAATTGTCTGGTTTTGAAAACGCAACATGTAAATCAAATAGTTAACTTGATTAACTTAAAAAGAACAAAGTAAATTTTCTGAATTTGCAAATTTTGTCAGAATACAAAATATTATATTATATGCTATTAAAATTATTTATGTGCTAAAAAATGTTTAAAAATTTGTTGAATAATAAAATTATATATTTAATATTTGGTTTTTTTGTATTCGTTATTCTAAACTACAGTTAACGTAATTTTTGATTATATTAATCTTATTTAGTACGGTAGACACCTATAATATCCCACTGCAATATACCATGGCATAATGATTTACTTTAAGTTACAATATGTTTGAATGTTTTGTCCGTGAAATAAATAAACGTAAATAATAACACCTACGTTGTACAACGTGGTACCTAAGTACCTCTAAGTATGTGTTTATAAATATGGGCGGTTGTAAACTCTCCCGATTTTAATGGCATGTAAACTCTCTCGGTGGTAAACTCTCCCAGGTCTACTACTCCAATACTACCTGATGAGACTATGTAAACTCTCCCAAGTCCACAATACTTCAGTACTACCATTGATTTTATAATATGGGAATATTATAAAATCAGTGGTACTACTAAGCTAGGGGAGCCTGGGGCATTATTCGTGTTACGCAGTTGGTAAGGTTGGAAAACTTGAGCCATTATAGTCAATATCGTTTTTAATATTAAAATGAAGAGTATGTTAACGGTAATAAAATATTTGAATGTTTAAATTACAAATATAGGTTAACGGTAATACAATGGATAGTAAAAATTTTAAATGATAATCACAACCGCTGAATTGTAGCCAATGCATAGTGTAGTAATAACATTTAAAACAACTCAAGAGAGTTCACACATTTCCTTCAGGTAATTATAATATTGACCCGGGAGAGTTTACCACCATTCATAAATATATTTGGATTCATAATCATAATATAGTACATATTATGTGAGTAGGATATAATCGGAAATCTAGATATGAACGTCTCCCCAAAGACCATAATCAATCAGTTTAATTTAATTGTTTTTCTTTTCTCATTGAATGCTAATCGGAATAAATTATTAAAAGCATTAATATGAACTGACAACTTTACAAGAACGCAGTTGTAAGTTGTGTTGTTTTGTAATTTTTCTGAAATGTGGTTAATAGAGAAGGTTGTACAATAACCAACTCGTTTAAAAAACAAATTAAAAATCTGACTTTTCCATCGCATGATTATTAAAAAAATGCAGGTTTGAATGACATTCGCTTTATAATAATACAATGTAAGAGTAAGCTACACGGGCATTTGTTGTTACCGTCTTACAAGTGAGTAACATACCAAATTTACACTCAGAAGTTCACGTTTAAGCTTAAAAATTAGAGTGAATCAAACTTCAATGAAACTCAATAGTAAACACATTGTCCGTGCTTATATGTGGCTTTTTTTAGCGATTTTTAGGTGTATAATATAGCGTAAGTTAAAAATGTTCATAACTCATTTAAAAACGGAATGAATCATCTGAAACAACCCACATACAAAGTACAAACACAGATAATGTTGTAACCATCGATTTTGATTCACTCTAATTTTTAAATTAAAGGAGCTATATGTGATCTGCTGAGCAGAAATTGGTCTGTTACGCACTTGTAAGGCATAGACAACAAAATAAATATTTGTGCACCTTAAGTGTATTATCATGCCTCAATTCTTACTGTCATATACGTATTAACATTGAGTATTATATATCTTATATAATATTATTCTCAATGATACAAATTATAAAAATAATATATATATTATTATAACTTAGGTGAAGTAGAACGACGTAACTCACGCTTAGTGAGTACAGCTCCAAGGCCCGCTACAAGCGGTGACTCACGGATCCACATCAGACAACTCCATACGAAAATACTATCTTGTGATTTTTCCGTCTAAAGGTGTAGTCGGGGTCGGCGTCGTTTTCAAGTCAACCCGATAAAAACTCCCCCCTGGGGAAGGTTATGGAATATCCATATACCTAACACGGCCACCAGATTTGGTGAGTAGTAACTATTTTATTTTACATTTCTTATCATCAAACACACGCCTGAACTAAAGTCCACGGTGACAGTCACGCGGCTGAGCGTGAAACACTAAAAGCCACATACCTTTGTAGGAAAGCGCATCAGCGCTCGGGAGAAAAGCTGTTAGGTAACGGACGTATCCACCTCCACTATGTACTGAAAGTTACCCACAAACCTCGTTTTTTTCAATTGGGCATATCTCAAGGACCTCTGGTGTTAAGGGACCCCGTTCCTTCACCAAGGGTTTCTGTTTTACAGCGTCTACAAGTCCCTCGTATGGTCTAGGGATCCAAAACCCTTTCCAAGGGATTTCCTCAAGGTCCCAAACCACCAAATCTCATCTGATTGGATCCGAGAATAGGGTCGACCTATCCCCCTTCCTCTTAGCCTACGGCATCATAAAAAATGAACCCGTGGAGCTAGGAAGCTCTGCCCAGGAACAAAGTATGAATGAGTACTACGTCACGACTGGGGATACAACACCCACGAACAGTCACGGAAATTCCCAGCCACAGAAAAAAAATCGACTCACAGTCGAACCGGTAGGAGTATCCCGGACTAAGCGAGCTGGAAGCTGACATGAACTACATGAGATCGACCCTGAAATCGGCAGCCCAAGCGGCAAAGAAGGACCTAGCTAAGAGGGATACCCCCGGCATGTTCTTCATCGCCGACCTACTGGTAGATCTGATGAAAATCATGAGTGGCTTTATCAATAAGAAGGGGAAGCTGTTCCCCTCACCGCCATCTCTTCTAAAGGTATCTTTGAATGATGGGATGTACCAACCCTTTGAGAGGCTAGTCATGACTGATGCGACATTAACACCAAGCTGGTAGAACAGTGACGCCAACGCCGAGAAAAAGGCAACTATCGGGCGGAGAAGTGCACGGAAATATGTCGGGGCCAGCATGACCGCTAAGTCACAGATACCGAGGCAGAATCCGCCATGGACACCGATGCCGAGAATTGATCGATGGTTACAGGAAACCTCCTAGGTAGCGTAGATATGCGCCATTCAGATCACGAGAATCCCAATCGGGTGGACCATGTTTCATGTCCACCCTAGGACACTCCCCCTGAGAGGTGCTTCACTTGTCATGTCTTCGATCACAACTCGAGGAGTTGCACAGCCCCTGCCAGGGCCGGAGCCTGTTTTAGTTGTGGGGATAAGAACCATGCAATGAAGGACTGCAATGAGTCCGAAGATAACTTTCTAGCGTACCAAATGGAGAGTCTTCCCAAGGTGGGCCACAAGCTAGGATCCGGCGCCTGCTCCTCGAGGAAGTTAAGCAAAACGCCATACACCCCATCCGATAATAAACTTCCGGCAAGTTAATTTGAACGGGTACTAGGCCGCTGATCAGTTCATGATACACACCACCGTCGAAATCAAGGTTGACGTCTTCAATGCGAGTGAGCCTTACACTCACCATGGCCGCGAAGACGTGGTGCTTGAGCGCCAACCGCCACGAGGCCGTAGTGGCAACTACCCAGCGAACGACTCTCACTCATGACGGGCTGGGCTCCGTCGATGGGTTTGTCTGGAAATATTAACTGTTGTCAGCTGCTACTGTATAGCTAGTCTATACAGGAATTTTCTCTCTTCTTGGTAGATCTAGAGACGGCCACCCGGGGAAATGTGAAAATCGTGCTGGCAGGGGACTTAAATGTGTGGAATGTAAAGTGGGGATCGAGAGTCAACAACTTAAGGGTTAAGGGGTGGTCTCTTGTCCGACCTCGTCACAAGTCACGAAATGACCTTGGCCAATACAAAAATGGTCCTCACATTCATGAGGACAAGTCTATAATCGATGTTACCTTTTATAGAGATGTAGAGCTTTCGGTAGGCAAACTCGCTGAGCGACACTCTACGTCGGCTTCAATACGGACAAGCTGCAGCAGGTCCACGCACAACCAGCACCGCCGGGCTGGTCAGTAAAACAGCAGGACGGTGATGCCCAGTGTCACTATCTTAGTGCCAACCAACCAGCAATCGTTGAAAGAGAAGTTTACACCAACAAAGCCCTGGCTTCGTCCAAAGCTCTCGTCGACTACCTTGTAGGTGCGTGTGAGGCTTGTAATGCCAAGGAGGAGACCAGCTACCCTGGCCAAGCGCCCCATCCACTGGTTGTAAACAGACATCGCAGAGATCCGTCAAGCGTGCCTGACTCTCCGCAGATTATATCAAGCATGCCTTAAGAGAGCAGGTAAACCTGGTGTCCAAGTGCCTAGACTTAGCTTCGTCACAGCATTATGTTTACTGATACACACATTGGTATGAATTCGATCGGCAGCTTCGCCGACTAGAACCAGAGCAAACCTCGTTTGCCCTCAGAGGTCAGCTGCTTAGTAGCCTCAGGGTGATAAGGGCATATCGGACCATGTCAGACGAGGCCGCACTGCTGCTGGCTTTCATGCCTCCAGCCGATCTCTAGGGCCTCTAGAGACCGAGTATCAGGGCCTGACTGAGAGCCGCGAACTTTCCTATTGCACCACTCCCCTCCAAAAACACGATGAAAACAGAAGAGCGGTAAGTCACCATCACCCTGTGGCAAGCGGATGGTCCGCCTCAACCAAAAGCGTCGGGGACTTTGCACGAGGAATATACATTTGGTAATTATGAGGAGCGTATCCTAGGTCCTAGGATGCTATTGCTGTAGTAATTACTTTTGTTTTTTGTTGCACAATAAACGATGGTTACCGTGGGAGAAGCAACGACAACACCAGTTCTTCCCCCGGTTCTCAATACCATGAAAAAAGTTGTATTCATAATTTAAGTTTTTGATTTCCAAACAACCAATCACCCAAGACAATTTTGTTTTCATATTGTATGTAAAACAAACAGATCCTACAAATTACAATGTTGCAAATTGTTGTATGCAATTTTCGCATCGACCGTGGTACCTATGCATAGCTGGTAGATGCATAAATATTATTTCATCTCGTAGTTGTCTGAAAACAACAATCAAACCGTTTTCGTTATACTAAACTTGTACGTGTATAATATACACCAGAATTAAGACAGACAGTTCAACAATAATTAACATATTTGACTTTTGCGAAATTCATATCGAACACAATCCCGGTGTGCATAGAAACTTTAAAAATAATATTATATATTATAAAAACTCACAAGGATACGTGTTCATGTTATTTTAGTGACGTTCTGTTGACAGCCGTCCTTTTGGTTTTGTAAAATATTCTATTATGAACTGAATGGTTATTATTTTCATCGAGAAAATAATTATTCGAATAAATCGTGTATGGACACGGCGTTTGTGTCTCTCCTGATCATGATTTGCAGCCAATCTTCTGTCGATCACAAAGCAAGTGTTATATTTTTTGTGTAAATTATGCGGGTAAAATAAATATTTTTGTACTTTTTGTTACTGAAAAGTTTTCAGCGGTGTAATGCCGTGGACAAGTAACGGAGTAATGCACAATTTAAACAATTTTGAATATAATATACAACAAATATAATATTATATCATTAACATCACTTCTTATTTTACAAATAAATAAATTATACCAACTACTTGATTATTTCACACACGATTGATAGACCTTATTATTATATGGACGTGAGATACAGATTATTAAAAGTTTTATTCCAGTAAATATTTCTAAGTTTTGTGGACTTCATTGTTAACTTTTGAATTTCTATCAAATCGTGGGTGATATTTACACTGTCATCGGTTTGAGTGGCATTGAGAGTTATTAGTACTTATAGATTATCACGGGTCCTTAAGTAAGCGTCGTGAGTGGTAAGTGCGATATCTATGACCCAAAATTATCATTTTATTTACTTATTGTTCCCCACATTTTATATTAGCCATAGTAATAATACCAAAATTCATGATAGATGTATTCGAGCGACCGAATCGTCTAAATTTTTTTTCGTTTCACACCTATTTTATGTTTTTAGCATGGTTGTATTAATATTATTATTAATAAAAATAGCCGTATATTTCGCAAGTACGAATAACACTGTCGTCACGGATGAAAACAAAAATTTGGAATGGTGGCAAACTGCGCTTTACTACCAAGTTTTACCGAGATCATTTAAGGATAGCAATGGTGACGGTATAGGAGATCTTAAAGGTAGGTAAAGTTTGTACATTATTATTTGGTGGATTTTAATGTGTTCTATTGCGTGTTATTGAAATTTATTTCGAAGGGGTTGAAGAGAAAGCTGAGCACTTAAAAGACATAGGAGTGGACTGTGTTTGGTTATCACCAATTTTTAATTCACCCATGGCTGACTTTGGCTACGATATTTCGGATTATAATGCGATTGATTCAGTATATGGCACAATGGATGATTTTGTTTCGTTACAAAAAAAATTGAAATCTTTGGGTAAATAAAGATAATTTTCGTAAGGTTGCAGTAGAAAATGATTAATAGGTACTTAATGTATGTCACACTAACAGTGTGATATAATTAGTTTTCAACTTGTTCCTTTTATTATATTTAAAAAAAAACAATTATGTGTTGTTTTTTTGACTGAGGTAAATTAATTATGAATTCTTCATAAAATGTTGTTGACTGATTTTTTTTGTATAAATAACAATATACAGGGTGATCCAATAAGTATGCTCACTCCCTAATAATGGAGTTATTCAAAATCTGATTTTTGGAATCTTTAAATGTACTCAAAAACCATATTTTCTAATTCTTGAGATTTTTCGTACCACTTAGCATCTCATGTGGAGACACGAACTTTGGGTTTTCAATGAGTTCAATATTATTACATTAGCTCACTTATTATATATTTGATTTCATAACATAATGTATACTTAAATATAACTGGTAATTGGCTTTTATGATTTTTTTATCATCCACAAGATACTCTCTATTATACCACTATAGTCATAAATTCCATATGCTTTACATCCTCATGTTTGATATAGTGATATGTGATTTAACAATAATAAATTCAATAAAAGTGGACTTAAAATAAAACTGTATTTTTTTTCTCCCTAAATATTTAAATAAACTGATTCACTTTAAAAATAAAACAGTATACACTAAGAATTTTTCTTTGACTCTACTAAACCAGTGTCTGTGTGGGCCAAGGGTAGAGTGGCCATCGGTGACATTATATGTTAGCCGGGGCTGTTCAAAAAATAATTGACCGGCATACACTACCAAAATATTGTAATTCTTATGGTGATAAATTAGTTATTGGTTTAGTAACTGTTAGAAACAATAAATAATTCAATATAATGTACATGGAATAGAAGGAGCAATTATTTTTATAACTGTACTAAAAACTATGTCTAATTAATTATTGTACATTAATTAATGTTGTATTACATTGCTGGCATTTTATTGGTGTGAACTCAACAAACAGGACAACTGCCTTCAATCAATGCATAATATACCAAAATCATAAGTTTCATTCTGTTTTAAGTATTGTATATTTATACAAACATGTATATACTTATCTATATATATATATTTTTTTTAAATAAGATATTTAACATACAAATATAATATGATGATGTAAAAACTAAGTAATAAATGGCAAAAGTAGGTACTTTCTATCTTTTGACTAAATTGTAATGTTAGTTATATTGATTCCAAAGAACAATAAGTATAAACCCAATAATTATTAGTTTGAGACTGGTCAATGAAAAATAATTAATATTTAAGTCTGGAATTTAATGCGTTTGTAGAATTACAGCATTTAATATAGGATTTTATAGGATCACTTTTAGTTTTTACGACAATTTGATTTGGACATATCACATAATCTTCATTTACACAAATTTTAATCAGCTTTTTTCTTCTTTTTGTTTTAGGTTTTTTATTTTTTACATATTCTGCAATATGGGTCAGGCTTTTTTTAGAAGATACTATTTTGTTAAAAATATATATTTGTAAATAAAAAGTAACCTAAAAACCAACATTCATTCAGACTAATCCTTTTAAAATTCTGATAGTTATTGGGTCATTAAGTTAAAAGACCTAGTTATGATATTTGTAAATGGGAAACAAAGACAACATTTGACAATTATCAATGTGTATATACTATAATAATCTATTTGAAATTTAAAGAGTTTAAAAGAATGTTTGAATTTTCATCAGACATTATTACGACGAGGGCCAAATCATGAGCTAGACAAACACTGATTTAAAACTATTAAAAATAGAGAAAGTAAGGAACATAATAGATAAGGAACATCAAAATGTTTAAAAAAGTTATATGAATAATAGGGAATACGAAGAAAAAAAAGAATTTAGTATCGCTATTCACCACAGAACATTACGTAAATGTTAAGAAAGAAACTTAATTATTTAAAATATACTACTTAAAAATTCCAAAAATCAAAATTTGAATAAACTCGTAATGTAGTTTAAAAAATGAACAACAAGGGGTATGCACACAATTAATAGTTATATTTGCAGGAAAAAGCTATAACTTTAGTTCTATAATATATAGGCATTAAGATGATTTTAGACTTCGTACCTAATCATTCAAGTGATGAACACGAATGGTTTAAAAAGTCTGTGGAAAAAATTATGCCGTACACAGATTATTATGTTTGGAAAGATGCTAAATACGATGAAAATAATTGTACAGTTCCACCAAATAATTGGGTAAAGTATTTCAAGAATTCAATACAATATTATGTTTGTTTTTATTTATGGCGTTTATGAAAAAATATCGGCAATAGTATATTGAATTTTTTTTTCCATTTGTTATATTTTATATTTTATTTTAATTAGTATAATATTAAATTATAAACTGCTTAAATCGTATAAACATTTAATATTTCTATGCATACATTTTTTTTCAGCGAAGTGTATTCAGTGATTCAGCATGGACATGGAATGAAAAGCGTGGACAGTATTATTTAAATCAATTTGATCCTAAACAGCCAGATTTAAATTACAGAAATAAAGCATTGGTTAAAGAAATGAAAGTAAGAATACATTTTCAAAATAAAAAAAATAAGATGATAGGTAGCTATTATAATGCAATATTATAGTTTAATTAGAATACTTAGATATTATTATGTGTATTAAGATTAAAACCAATAACTTGTCAGGGCATTACAAAATATGGTGATAAGTAAAGGTGTATATCATGTCGGGAAGGACCTAATCGGGCGTTTAACGTCGCATCGACCATATAATTACATAAATGTTTTACTAATGCCTTCCTAGTTATTAAATTATTTAATTTAGGTTTACCTGAAACTATCTGCAAACGTAAATTATTATACTTAGGTAGGTACTCGCCTGAATATATATTAAGTTCACAGATGATCGATTGAACTGATTAAGTTAAAAAGTTAAAAAAAAACACATTCTAACTTAGCTTTAACTTTTAAACTAGTTTATATTTAATGCCCACTTTACTGTTACCTACTATCTACTTTTTTATAGTATCTACTTAACAACAAGGCTACTACAGTAGAGCAATTTCCACGGTCTTTAAATTTGTATTTATCTCTGTAAGTTAAATCAAAATCGTTCATATAATATAGCTATTAATATCCCCTACTTATGTTACTTTTGTTACATAATTTTATTAAAATATTGTGTTTTTGAGCAGGACAACTTCAGGTTCTGGTTAGATCTTGGTGTAGATGGGTACAGAGTAGATGCCGTAAAATTTTTGTTCGAAGATTCATAATTCTCAGATGATATCAAGAAACCAGAAGAGCTCGCTATGAAAGAGGTTAATACTTATGAGCAATATTACCATCCCAATACAGTGAATTTAGATGAAACGTATGATATGATCAATCAGTTTAGGGACGTAATAGACGAATACAAACTGAAAGATGGAGAGATCAGGTACCGTATACACTTATTATTTTACCATTTACCTAATTATTAATAATTCATTCTGGAACAATTTTTTTCATTTTGTTTATTTTAGTAGGCATGAGATAAGTACCATTAATTATATTCATTCATAATAATAATTGATAGCTATATAATACTAAACAATTTTCATGATTTCTTTGCAAATCATCTGCTTGTAAATCTAGAAATAACGTATGTTTTGTTACCGATTATTTTGGATCGAATGATTTTATGTGATACAATATATCGTGCATATATTTCTTAAGCATCTTGAACTTTTACTCTTATTTATTCTGATTTCAAATACTGTTATCACAAAACTGTAAGAGGGCGTATCATTGCATCGCCCACGTGTGATTGTCTCCATCTTTTGAACATAGTGAATTTGCTTTTACACGAACCTATTTTTTGTCACATGAATGACTAACTCATTATCAAAGTTAAGAATATTATTTGTGTTTAAACGTTGGTTTCTTGTGATGTAATAATTATCAAGCGAGTTATGTGTATGTGAAATATGATGATTTGAAAGTTCTTATACATAAATCACTTAAAAATTTAAACATTGTCAAAACCAACTGAAAAACACAGATAATTTCATTGCTTTTAGATAAGTCTTATAATAGTTCAATTCACACTAATATTAAGCCTTGTAACACAGAAGTGGATCGTTCAAATATACTTTGTTGTATTTCCGTTTGTAAGATGAGGATCATAAACTTATAATTTGCTAGTGCGATGTCCTCTTAAACCTATATTAATATATTATATTATATTGTATTGGTATATAGTTTAAAATTTCAATGTTTGTAATGTTTCAAAATTTTGTATTTTTTATTGTTAATTAAAAATATCACATCTTTGGATAATATATTTTATTACTGCATTTATAGAGTTATGATAACTGAAGCATACACTTCTTTGGAAAATACTATGAGATATTATGGTAATGAGACCCATTTGGGAGCACATATGCCATTTAACTTTGAATTAATCGTTAAACTAAATGATTTTTCAAACGCCTCTGAATTCAATGATGCTATAAATAGTTGGTTGGACAATATGCCAGAAAGGAAATGTGCGAACTGGGTGGTAAGTAACATCGCGATTCCAACATCTTTTGCTCTCTGTAACATCTATTGGTTAAATCCAAAATTTCATCATTATAGATTTAATACATTTTACTTCCGATACTACAAAATATAATATTTAAAATATTTAAAATAAAAACGATTTCCCTTATTATAATACAAAAACTAGACATTTACTTGACATTGTCAACACCTTCAATCAATAATAAAATACTAATATAATAATTATATATTAGAATTACATCAATTTATTACCAGTATAAAGTTTCTACAAATCCATCATCTACCTTAAAATATGATACGTTAAATAATAACAATATTTTACAAAAAAATCAATAAATACAATAATCATACTAAGTTATAATACAATAGTCAACAAGCAAACATCCAAGTATAGAATATTTGTTATAGTTTCAAAAAATGGTATTCATATTCAATAACTTTATTTTTTTTTAATTCACTTTATTAACTATCTATTTATGAAACATAACTAGTGGGGTATGAATATCTCTCACAAGCATTTAAAATAATGCACAACATTTTTTTCATATTAAAATTATTTTTATGACCATCTAATTGCGTTTTATTTTTATGTAATAAATACGTATGTCTTATGTTCATAACTATTGTAGGTTAAAATCTGGTTAAAATTCTACATTTTAAGATTTGTATTAAAAATGCCGGAAATAAAAGCGAATACCTATACAAAACCCAAACCTAAATAATAAGTAAAGATGATTACTAAATGACTTATACATCAAATAAATTCAATAATGACAAATGATATATCAAAGCTAAAGATGATCACTATATAGTTTCAACGAATGAATCATGTACCTTAAAATATGACGTGTTAAACTGTTAAGTAATGACAATGTTTTAAAAAAAGCGATATATACAACAATCATAGTAATAGTTATGTTATACTACAGACCTAATATAGACGGTTTACTTTAGTCATACAATAATCAAACTGCAAGAATCTAAGTATAGAATATTTGTTATAGTTTTAAAAAAACAGTATTCATACTCAGTGCCCCCACAAGGGGGGGGGGGCTTATGGACCTTGGGAGGCCCGGCTATTTCAAAGGCCCGCAGACCCGTTGAAATTTATTGGTAATTTTTGAAATTTTTGCAGAAATATTTATTTTATATTAAATAATATTGTAAAATAACATTATATGAAATAAATATTTATATATATTAAGTCATTTTGATACTTCAAAATCCAGATTAACCATTGATTACCTAGAAATTATCGTGGTTGCAGTTTGTGTCTTAATTATCACTTGTAAGAGAGATTAGATTATTATGCCCACCTTTTATTTTTTTTTAATAAAAAAGACGTTATTAATGTTAAAATGTATAAATATTGATTTTTTATAGTTTACTAGTTGACTCGACAGATGTTGTCTTAACTATGAATATTGAATATGAATTGGTAAGGTTAAAAAAATAATCTTATTCAAAAAATTGTTATACATATAAATTATAGATGGTAAATTGTATATCTGGAAGTTTTATAAAGGGCCTGGACAAACATTTAGTACAGGGGCCCATAATTGTATGCGTGGGCCCTGTTCATACATATTATAGGCTCATTTTTTTCTATTAAACTTCAACAAAACTAATTTTTCGTAAATTGTATGACATAAGTTTGATCATGTTGGTGTAATTATTGTACGCGTCTGGTAAACAACAAGCAAATTATTTTGATATCCTTAAAATCTGTTAAAATCGCTTTCTATCCCGAGTCAATGACGTGATGCTTTTAATTTTTGAGCTTACCCATTTCTGAACAAAAAAAAAAATACGATACTAAGCGCATAGACACCCATCTGCAACGACACATGGTTGCACGATGGACGAATTGTATCTCGGCACGTCACAAAAATAAAATTAAAAACTATGCTTTAATGTGTGCAGATCGGAAACCATGACCGGCCGCGCGTGGCCACTCGGTTCGGCGACGAAATGGTGGACGCCATGAACATGCTGAACATGCTGTTGCCCGGCGCCGCGTTCACTTACATGGGCGAGGAGATCGGAATGTCGGACACGACCGTCCGTTGGGACCAGACGATGGACTCGAAGGGCCTGAACGCGGGACCCGATCGTTTCCGGATCTTGAGCAGGGACCCTGCGAGGACCCCGTATCAGTGGAACGCCAGTGCCAACGCCGGGTTCACGGTTTCGTCGACACCATGGTTGCCGGTAAATCCCAACTACTGGAAGCTGAACCTGGACGCGCAGCGGAAGCAGCACTGCAGCCATTACACCGTGTACAAACGGTTGGCCAGGCTCCGGAAGACCAGGACGGTGCAGCGCGGTTCGTTCGACGGCAGAGAGCTGTCCGAGTGGGTGTACGCGTTCACCAGGTGGGTGGTGCGCAGTGCACGTGATACTACGACCTCCGAGAATGCATTGCTGTCTCGTGCAAATCGCTTAGCTTCCCCTCACCTCAAAGGCGAATCAATATAATAAAATAAAAAATGGAATGGAAACGCATACTAAATAATATTAAGCTGAGGTAATTAAAACCTATACCTCTATTAATAGGCAGCGTCGCCACTCGTTTACCTACCGAATCAAAATGTAATTGAGTAATGATGAAAATATTTTCCGTTCTCATTTTTTATTCTTCATTAACAGTGATTCGCGTGTGTAAAAAATTATAATACCCAATGCCAAATGCCCTAACCTCTACACACGCTCAGTGTTGCGTCAAAAATATGAAAACTAATAATTATCTTTGACAGCAAACTTGTTGATATAGGTTTTCATTCACGTACCTATAACCCTGGAATCTACAAATTATCATACGCTTTTATTATTCATTTGTTCAATAATTATAGCACAATATATTATTAAACAAACAATCTTTTGTGACGATGATTTTTTGTAACATTATAATTTATAATATTATCAATCGTAGAGATCTTGAGGTTTGCATGCTGAAAGACTGAAAGGCAGTGATGTACCATAAAAGGTTAGGGGGATAGTACCTAAGGGTGGCAAATGTTAGATATTGTGCACCCAATTATTATTATAACATGAACGACGAATGCAATGATACTTAATCTACTATTTTACGTTATTTTATTTGACTATAGGTTACTGCCGTCGTCGACAGAAACTTACCTGGTGGTGATGAACGTCGGCTCGGAGGACGAACGTGTCGACTTGAGTCGTTGGCCAACCACCGCCAAAGAGGAAACGTGGCTGGTGCACACGCCAAGCGTCAATTCACAATACTCAATAGGGTGAGGACCAATGACTGCTGAAATAAAATTTGAATATTTGACAAGTACAACGTTTAATGTGACATTTAAATTATGAGACATTATGTAGACAGCGTGAAGACACCCGTAATATTTATTCACGAAAATGATTTCATGCATACGACACACAGATGGATACAATATTTTCAGTAGATTTACCAAATGGTCACAATATTATAATATACAGATTATTGAGCTATAATAGTTACACTAGAAGCTAATCAAAGAAAAAAAAATTTTGTAATCTCAATCATTTTTTTATTATTGACTAATAATATTGAATAGTTTCATATTTACATCAAATAAAAAAAAACTCTGAAACAATATTACAATATGAAACGAAAAAGGCACTACCTTCTATATTTAGTAAAAGTTTGGTATGACTACTGCAAATATTTGTACTCGTTAGTTTGTCTCTCATAATACCGTTTTTGTGTATGATTTCGTAATTATGCAACAACCATGTAGGCGAAGACTTCAAATTGGTTTTAAAAATATAGTAATCTTTTCATTATTTTATTAATCTTGCCTGCATAAAACGCCTTAAATATAGGGTGTGTGGCATGAAACTCCTTAAAAACTGTCTACCGTCGATCCCCTTAACAAACTATAAAATAATAGATCTATAATACTTGAGTGTATTTGAAGTTTGTAAAATTGTTATTCATTTTAGCAATAATTAAATGTGATGTAAAACGAATAATAATATCCACAAACATTTGAAAATAATATAGATACCCTAATAATATCATATATATTGTCCATGGCAATATATTTTATATACTAGATATAATATTAAACGTAAAACAAATTTAATTTAATTAAATAAAAATTTTTTTTTTTTAAATATTATTATTCAACTTATTTGCCTGATAAAATGCGTTAGTGGCTTGGCGTGGTGCGTTGGCTGCTACTAGTCGCGGAATGCGTCTGGGAGTAAGTAACAGCCACAGCTACTTGCCCCCGGATGGGTGACCACCCGGGTTCATAGTAGTTAAAAACCTTGCCACACATACAAGTGTTTGCTGCCTACCGTAACAACAGTAACAATCGTAAAAACAACCTACCGTACCAACCTATCCCCTACAACAGCTAATGGCTTTAATCGCCAGGCTTAAGTTCAATAAAAAAAAAAATGCGTTAATCCTATACTTTTTTTTTTATGCAGACATATCATTATACATGATTGTTTACGGGTTTTTCCTGTGAACGAATCTCTAATATTTTTAGATGATTGATAGGTAACTGATGAGTTGGATCGCTTTACTACAACCTAAATAATTATGTGGTATATACCAGTAACCGTATACATATCTCACATTAGTTACGTTGTTTTAAGACGCCCAAAGGTAACCTTTTTTTTTATCATTTAGATATTCACTTAAGACAAATGGATTCACGATGAGACCAAAATCAGCCATGGTTTTGTGTAACAAAAGAGATTCATTGATGCCATCATCTTCATCTACAACCTCGTCAACATCCTTCCATTCACTGGTATTTCCGGTGGCAATGTTCATGGCCGCCATGGACTACTTGCTTGCCAACTAGTAATCGTCAGCCATCTAATTATTTCTAAAAATTTACAATCATTTATTTATTACTGGCATAAATTTAAAAACAAATAGTAAATCTCTCTGATTTGTGAATTGCTGTCGTAAAGTAGAATATCTAGATGTTATATCAAATACCTACATTAAAATCAAAGTTGTTTTTTTTTATATAAACATATACACAGAGTTTAAGGGTCAGGGTTCTCCCTCCCCCCCCCCCCCGTAATTTCTGCTAAGGCCTTGATTTTTAAATTTTTTTATATAAAGAAACATATTTATACTCAACCCCCTCCCCTAAATATTTTTCTGTCTACGGTCTTGATCATACAAAATCGACCCATCGACAGTTTTTTCCAAAAGAAGAGCCGATGCAGAACGTCCACGCCAGTCTTCAACACGATGTGATCATACACTTTTTTTACTGTTTAAATGTTGAAATGTGTATTTGTCGCCGTGCGTATAGGCATATATTGAAACAACTCAGAATTCGGTATAACAATTTGATCAATTATTTCCTATTATTACCTTAAATCATCTACTTATTCTTTTCATTCACCTATCTTCCTACGAAATTCACTCACAGAATTCACAATCCTGTGACTATCGTTGCATTATAGTATAATCACATAATAACATTATCACGTATTTATTATTAGATCATTTTTAGCTATAGGTTTAATTACACATTACCTGTGTACGCTCATTTAACTTATGGTGAAGACCATAATCAATCAATCAATTTAATTTAATTGTTTTGCTTTTTACATTGGGCATTATTAAAATAGTTCATATGAACTTACAACTTTACAAGAACCAAGTCGTGTTTTTTCGTAATTTTTCTGAAATACAGCTGATGTTCAATTACTGACAAGTTTAAAAAACAAATAAAAAGCTAATTTTTACATCGTATGATTTTTAAAAAATACAGGATTTAATGACAATCGCTTTATAATAATGCAATGCAAGAGGAAAGTACAAGCGGACATTTGTTGTCGTCGTCTTACAATTTCTTATAGCTCGGAAAAATTTTCAAGCCCAGCAGATCGCATTAAGCTTCGTTATAGTTTGAACTTTAGAGCGAATCGAACTTTAAGAGGACGCCACACACGAATGTGCTGTCTCCGTCTTACAAACGCGTAACATACCAAATTTAGCACTTCACGTTTTATACCGTCAGGTTAAATATTAAAGTGAATCGACCTATTTTGAAACTTGATGGTGAGAACTTTATCTGTGTTGTGCTGAAAGTTTTTTTACAACAATTCAGTTTTCAAGTGAGTTATGAGCATTTTTAATTTACATTTGTTATACAAGCATACCTCACTTAAAAACTGAAATATCGTAAGAAAACTTCCAACAAAACACAGATAAAGTTCTTACCATCAAGTTTTATAATAGGTCGATTCACTTTAATATTTAACTTGACGGTATAAAACGTGAAGTGCTAAATTTGGTATGTTACGCGTTTGTAAGACCGAGACAACAAGTGCAGGTGTGGCGTCCTCTTAATGAAACTTGATAGCGCACTATTATCCGTGTTCGTATGTGGTTTTTTTACAATCATTCAATTTTTCAGCGAGTTTTTCGTACATAATATAGCGCAAGTTAAAAATGCTCATAACTCATTTAAAAACGAAATCATCTGAAACAACCCACGCCCAAAGTACAAACACAGATAATTTTATAACTATCGAGTTTCATAACAGGTTGATTCGCTCTAATGTTTAGATTAAATTAGCTATACGTGATCAGCTGAGCGGAAATTAGTGCGTCACGCACCTTATTGTAAGGCGGAGGCTATAAAATAATTTGTTGTGCATCTTAAGTGTATTATTATTTATGCCTTAAATCTTACGGTCATATACGTGCTAACATTGGGTACTATATATTTTATTTATTTAATGAATAAACGGGCGTGAGCCCAGGTTAAAATAATTAGGTGAACAATACAATCATACAATAACGTAACATGAATAATATAACAAAGTATAAAATATAAATTAAACTAAACAATGAATACAAAATTAAAACTATTAAAGGAACAACGGATCCTCATTGGCTAATTTCATTAATCTCGTAATAGGTTTATTTTTTAGATAGTTTCTAGTGCAGAAGGGTATAAAGAAAGGACGATTATTGCGGGTGGACCTAACAGGAACTCTAAAGTTAATGAGAGAAAGAAGAGACGGGGAATCGACCAAGCCTGTTAGGAGTTTGTTAAGGAAAGAGAGATTATTGAAATGACGACGGTCAGCTAGGGAGGATAAGTTAAGCAAACAGTGAAGTGGAGTGTAATCGTGAGTGGTGCAGTTTACGTTAAGAGAATGTTTCATGTAACATAAAAATTTTTGCTGAACCCGTTCTAGTTGAAGACAAGCATCAGTTGATTGGGGATCCCATACAACTGAGCCGTATTCTACGATTGGACGTATAAGTGCACAATATATAGCTTTGAGGGAAGCGGAAAGCTTAAAGTCACTAAATATTCTTTTGACGGACCCCAATACCTTAAGGGCTTTGCATGTAACTCCGTCTATGTGAGCTCTAGGACAAAGAGAGGGAATAAAAGTAAAACCGAGATCACAGATGCTAGAGTAAACTGGAATCAAATTCGAGCCATTCAATGAGTAAAGATGAGTAATAGGAGAGCGACTTCTTGTGAATGTTATGAACCGGCACTTTTCAATATTTAATGTGAGACCGAGAGAATCAGCCCATGCGGAGAAACTATTTAAATCATCCTGGAGTTTGAGACAATCATCGACAGAGTTAATTTCGAGGAAAATCTTCATATCGTCGGCAAAACAAAGAAGTTTGCTATGTTTGAGAGAGGAGCTAGCACTGTTAACAAACACTTAGGTTAGGTTATATTGTATTTATACAATATTATACTCCATAGTATTAATAATAAAAATAATGTACATATTATTATGAATTAGGTGTATATTATATAATTTACTTTTTTGATTTAAAAACAACCTAAGACAATTTTGTAATTATATTGTATGTAAAACAGGCCCTGAAAATTACATCGTTTCAACTATTGTCGTCTGCAATTTTCGCATCGACCGCGGTACCTACATATAGCTGGTAGGTATATTAATATTATTTCATCACAGGGTTGTCGAAAAACAACAATCAAACAGTTCTCGTTGTACTATACTTGTACCTGTATAAAATAGGCATACTCAGATTAAGACATACAGTTTGACAATATTTAACACATTTTACTTCTGTTAAATTCATATCGAACACAATCCCGGCGTGCGTAGGTACTTAATAAATAATATTATATAATATTATAAGAACTCACAAGGATACGCGCCCTTTTCGTTTCGTAAAATAATTGTGACACACATTCTATTATGAACCGAATGGTTATTAATATCATCGAGAAAATAATTATTCGAATAAATCGTGTATGGAAACAGCGTTTGTGTCTCACCTGATCATGATTTGCAGCCAATCTTCTGTCGATCACAAAGCAAGTGTTAAATTGTTTGTGTAATTAAATAAACGGGTAAAACAAATATTTTTTGTTTCTCTGTGAAAAGTGTACTCTTTGTTGCTGCCAAGTTTTCAGCGTTGTTATGCAGTGGGCAGGTAACGGCGTAATGTACAATTGAATCAATTTTGAATAAAATATACAACAACTATTATAACAATTATTTCATTAACATCTCATTTTATTTTACAAATAAATAAATTTTACCAACTACTTGACTATTTCACACAAGATTGACAGACCTTATTGTTATAAGGACGTGAGATACAGTCATACAGATCATTATTAGTTTTATTGCAATACACATTTCTAAGTTTTAAGGACGTTTATTTTTAACTTTTGAATATTTATCCTATCGCAGACAATATTTACACTGTCTACGGTTTGAGTGGCATTGAGCGTTATTACTACAGTGACACCTCATTAATCCTTACTTCATTAGTCCGAACTTCGTTTAATCCAGACAGCCGATTATCACACTATTTTATGGCGTAGATTATAACAAGAAAACGAGTTCAGTTATATAATTATTTACTTTTTTTCGGTTTAATATTGTTAGACATATGTATTAGATATAGGCTAAAGTATTGTAAGTGTAGTAAAATATAAAATAATTTTTTTTTGAATTTATAGTTTACAATTCCTGGTTATTTTGTTTAATCCGGACTTTCATTAATTCGGACAACTTAGAGCCCCAATTGGTTCGGATAAATGTGCCACTACTGTACTTATACTATGTGAGTAGAACTTGACCGTGTTTAAAATTTAAAAATCTGAAATGAAGTTTACATTAATACTACCCCTTCAAAAAACATAGTGTTTTACTGGCTCAAACAAGTTACTGCAGGAGTTAATACTGACTCAGTCAAATCCACGAGTAACAAATGTAATGATTTCAGTTATCAAATACAAGATTTAGTAACAGCGATATAAGATTTAAAGGATGAAAACAAAATAATAAAAGAACAAAATCTGAAATTGAAAAATGAATTATTTATAGTAAATAAGCGAATCAATATCTTCGAACAAGATCAACTTGGGGCACACGTTGAAATAATTGGTGTACCTTTACAAGAAAATGAAAATTGTGCAAAAATAGTGGAAAAGATTACATCAGCACTTTATGTTCATCTATCTACTGTGAATACGTATTGTGCAGTAATATCCAAAACTGTAAACAATAAATCTGGGAAAATAGTAGCGGAAATGAAATCAAAAGAAGATAAAGCAACTTTAGTCGGTTTAGTAAAGAAGAAAAGATTATCGGCGAAAAATGTAAATGACAGTTGAAATAAAATGGTATTTATATTAATACTCAATAACTCAAACGGATAGAAATCTTTTTTATTAAACTCAGATGTTGGTCGAAGAACAAAGAATAGTTAAAAGTTTCAAGTTTGTGTGGTTTAAAAACGATTAACTATTTATTTAAAAAAAAACAGAAATTTCCAATACAATCTATAAAGACGATGAAAACATTCTAGGTAAACTTAAAATTAATTAATAAAAATAATCTAGCGGCAACAAATATAAAATAAACTGAAATGTTTGCATTATGGACAGTATCCACACAATAAATAGGTTTTTAGACTATAAAACGAATTATTTTGAATCTTTTTCAGTGTAAAA